ACCAAAACACGTTTGTTGTGATATAAAATAAATAAAAAGCTACGGTAGGCATGTTTTCATGTCCACATGTAACTGAAGTCGCATGACCATTACATTTAGTAGCACTGTCAACTAAATAAAACATCCCGCTCGGTTTTCGCCAAAATTATGGAGTATGAAGATGAATAAGAAGCAGTACTTAGGCAGCTTTCGAAAATATGCGATCTCATATTATATGAGACAAAATATGAGAAATAGCGATCATAACAACTAGATTTCATGGGCAGTTAATGATGACGCTGCTACACCTGATAAACTGCAATATCAAAGTTGAGAAAAGGTAGGCTTAGAATTGGAACTTTGTACATTTTGTCGAATCGGAAGCGATTCACATGTCATAGTAAAGGCACATAATACGTAAGTGTCAGGCTTTTTCGTATAGCGAGGCTTTCCTTGTCTTTGAGATCCGACATCAAGAGTATTTCAAGTAAACCCAAGTAAATAATACTTACGCTATTGCATATAGAAAGACTAGCTATGTTAATACAAGATCTTAAACGCATATTAAACATCAGCGGCAGCACAGAACTACTTACAATATTGTTATAATTGTCGCCGCATCTATTAATCCGACAAACATTAATAGTATTCCTATCGATTTATTGTTTCCGATAACCAGTTTTGCAATGAGTGTGTACAATCACTGAGGATTTTTCTTGACTCACGTGGCGCCATCTACCACTAAGATCAGTAACTACAGTGACTGCGTGCCCGACAGAAAGGATGAACAACCGTAAGCTGCTGTAGAACGTCTGCTAGTTAGCGTGTTCCACAAACGTAACGACTATACAAAGCGACATAAGTCAAATGGACTTTTATATAAGTTGCTAGCGGCATGAATGGGCACAGGTCAGTATGCTGATATGCTTTGTCCTGAAAAAGAGACATATCCTTTCCTGTTTAAGATTAGTTCGATTTTACTTAGTTTTTATCTGACTTTTAATGCTACCACAGAAAAATTGCTTACGCAGATGAACATATAAACTAAAACAAATCGGAGGCATATTACACCGGGAGGCGTCACCACAACGGATGGTGTTCAAATTTGTATCCTTTAAAGATCATTCAGCTTGTCTCAAAGAAAGAGCAAGATTCACTAATGCAGAAACACATAAACCAAAAAAATTGTTGGTTTTTTTCCAGATTATTCCAACTTATATCTTATAATCCAAAAAAGGTGCTTTGATCATCATATAAAAACAGAACATAATTGGCTTATTCGATGTTGCTATGGAGGTTCTCTGGGAGAACTTAAGTGAAGAGCAGAACTTTTTTTATTAAAAAACACCTCAGACGCCAGCATATCCTAACTTTTATTCCAAGGTCTCGCTAAGCGAAAATAAGTAAAAATTTGACGTAAGCTAAAAATATGATCGTCCGTCTAAAACTATTTTGCATATTAATAGACTCACTTTTAAGTACTATGTTAACTATACATTTTGCAAAGCTTGTAAAGACCCGAGAAGCTCGAGGCCATTTTGAAAAAGACCGTTTTGAAATTCGAATAAAAGTTTTTCTTATAATTCCTGTGTAGAATAAATCTAGTGTACAGGATACTATGAACGATTCAGAAGAGTATCTGCTCAGCTAATGTTGTCTAATCTAGCATTGAACTATTGCGGACAGTCGTATTCTATTCTATTCTAACTGTAACCTTGATTATTTCCCATTCAAGGAATTGATTTTTTTTTCCCGTTTTTATTATTTACTTTCTCTATCTCATAACGTAACCTGATTTAAGATGGAGGTTTGCTGAAAAGATCTCTTAGCATTAGAGAACAGAAAATAAATGCTTTTTCGTAGGTCGTATAACCAACGCTGTCCATGTGATTGGTGCAGTAATCATGCACACCCGAGCCGAACGTTTACCGGCAAGCGGTTAGCCATTGGTCAGTCCCCCTTTCCACTGAACGGGGCGGTGTAAAAGCCAGACTCCGCCCACTGAGACGGATGAGGACATCGATACGTACAACAATGAATATCCGCTCTGTGAGAATTATTTCCAATCGATTATCTGTGCAAGAAGTAGCGATTCGTTGATTTAATAGAAACCGAAAAAATAAGCTCAGACCGTAGATAGCTACAGAGTCGAATCTGAATAATTGTTACTACTTGGAGCGCTATTTTCTACCGATCAGTTGCGAACTCTCTCCTGGATATCGTTATAATCGAAAATGCGTAACGTAAGTATATGTTATGAGGCTGCGAGAGAACTAGTTGGCACAAATAAAGTCTCCCCAAAGCTCGCTGGATTAATTCAGGCTTGACATGACGCTCACGTCGTTTACGCCTGCTAAGATATATTTCTAAAAGCCGCGCTGTAAGACATTGACTTGCAACTGGAAAATGCATTAGAATTAGACCCGCCGTTCTGGAACTGAAAGTGGAAACATTTTTAGCATGGAACATAACTGTTATAGAAAATGGGCCAACTGTAAAATAGGCCCGGACCGACCTTTTCGAGCGCGCAGAAAGCTTAGATTGGTGAAAGTAATTCCTTCACGAAGGGTTTTAGAGATGCTCGCGCATCAGCCTATGCAACAACTTTGACGCATTTAGCGTAAAGAGGAACTGTCAGTCGTGAGATAATCGTATGCCATCATCGTCCATAATCGCGAGGTAAAAGGATCTGCTGAGCAACTCAAGCTGGCTGGCCGCGTTTTGCTGACGCTTCGCTATCTGCAAACGTGTGTGCCTATTGCAGGATCCTCGACCCGGACGCTGGATTGTACTTAATTTTAGGGTCGCGGGACGCTATTAGCCGAACCTGAATCGCTATTTTAAATAAATGACGAGGAATACAAAACCCAAGAAAAGCATTAAATGACTGCGCAGAAAACATTTAAAGTATAATTAATGGATCTTTTCTAGTGATTCGGTTAGAAGCCGCGCTTTAGAGCATCCATTTTTAAAGTACTATAAACGCAGTCCTTAACGGAGCAACTGCTCTCCATAACAAGAAAAGAACTCGCATGCTTCTGCTGTATGCTTAAAAACACCATAAAGTAATCCAAAAATATTACATTTTATTTTTTATTTTGTATTTTCTTTTTTATTTTCAGGTTACAATACGAAATCACATAAGACTCCCCATAGTTAAAGATGGGTGAAGGCAGGTTGATATAATTCGTAACCATGTTGTAACTGTCACCTAATCGGGTTTGTAACACTATCTAAAGGTTTGCCTTCGGTCGGCCTTTGGGTAACCGGGGTGCTTCACAGCTCCTGGACCTTGACTGTTAAAACTTTGCTGCAGGAGATGCCGTGAAATACACGTGCCTGACCGTGTAGCCACGGATCCTTTGTCTGTGGCCTTTCTCGCCCGATCTCTGCTATGCGGTGCCTGTCATTTTGCGTATACAAGTTCACATTTACGCTTGCACCTTTATAAACACAATTTGATTAGCAAGTTGGATAGCCTCAATAGACTCATTAACCTCAATAAACGTCCTTTTCTTTAGGCTGTTATGTTTAGACACACCTTCAAGCGAGAAGTATAGGAAACCCTTTAGATAGCAGAAATTGACTGTAATTCTGTTTCCGTCCGATAACGAACTTTGTATTTCAGCTGTAATAAATAGATGTATCAAATACGTACCAAAACATTTAGACAAAAGCCTATGATGTGTCTATAAAATAGAAGTCCGACACATACAGTCGTAAAATCATCCACAAAGAATGTTAAAACAATAGGAATGAAAGTGAATGATAAAAGTATACGATTTATTTCATTATTAATATTTATGCATTACAAAATATCCATTAGGCAGTACGTTATATATATATATATATATATATAAAAGAATCGAAAATGACAAACCTGATAATGATATATAACAAAAAAAAAGCAGCGGACAGAAGTTTACTCCGTTCTGTATAGTAAGTTAGAAAAGAAGAAAAAGAAAGAAAAAAAAAAAAAGAAAAGTTAGAAGGGCACAGATATAATAAAAAACAGGGTGGCATAGCATAATTATGACGAATATGCAGGCTTACGTGTACGCCAAATAAAAGCTGTAAAACTTTTTGCTACGCAAAATGTTAGCTAGGTTTAACTACAAGATAAAATTTCATAGTTTAGGTAAAGGTTGAATAAACAAATAAATAAGCATAATCATTGGAAACAATTGCCTTTGTTGAAATCAGTATCTAACAAGTATTTAATTATTTGAAATAACAATCAACTCAGGGAACCCACGTAAGACACCGTTCCACTCTGCTATGCTTCCAATACTTTGCACGTCATGAGCTTAATGCAAAAAAAAAAATGGGAAATACAATTCCGAGCACATAAAAGTATTTTGTATAGGGATTTTTTTGTGATGACCCTATTAATAAAACATGAAATGCCCATATTTGAAAGAAACGTAATATCGATTGTTTTGAAACTAATCAAATAGGACTAATAACTATTTCATCAATACAATTATGACCGTTTTATACGCGAACGTCATAATAACGTGTGATCTAAATAGGCGACAATGAGTCATCTGCGAACACCGATTTTTAAGCAAATGGTGGATTTCATTCGGAACTACGTTTGATGCAGAAAATCGTGATATTGTGACAGAGAAAGACTCCGCAGTTAAGGGACATGGTTCGACAATCGTATGCTGCTGAAGCGTATCGCTTATAACTGGAGAAGCGCTTTTATGGCAACATCAAGGGAACTTTTCAAATCGACTCTTTCATATGGTTCTCTATTACACATTATAATCTGGCTCTTTGAATATTACAAAGCCTAGTTTCCGCTTTAGCAGTTGCCATCTGTAGAACAGAATGAAGATGAACTTTATTTTATATGAAAAATATTGATAAATACTGCACGTATGCGCGAACAGTGTAACTTGAACAATCTCATAAAGTTAACATATCTAAAATTCGAAATTGTGCTACTGAAACAGGCGCCACGGATTAATAAGTAGTCTAATTTCGAATCCGAGCGTAGAACATATATAGAAATATTCAATTCCGGTCATACTTTGTCTAATGCAATGCTTGGTCTATTTCCATAATGGAAATAAGCGTGGCAAAATAACGAAGTAGAAGTAAGTGTTGACATCAGAGCAGACCATAGTGGGGCGAATGGATACGAGCATTAAAGGGAACTTTATTTCGCCAGTGTTCCAGCTTTGATGATGAAGACAAGATTAACAGCTCGGCACTATACAACCGATTTTGCAACATTAGGACGCGAAACCGATTTCCCCGTCAGGTCTGTGCACTAAGTTCAAACACAACAAATCCATTATCACAGTATAGAATTACGACGTCCTGCCCCTATATATATATATATATATATATATAACAGATCCTGTTACGAGTCATGGGAAGTTCACCTCTAAACGAAGAAAAGGTACGGTATGAAGTTGCCTCCGGCCATCGTCGAGTTCGCCGGAAAGAACGTGCTCTACAGTCATACAATGATAATATGCACAAATCGAATACGCTTCTACGAACGCGTTCCTGGCCTCGACGAAAGGCAAAAAAAACCGGCCCAAGAAGGGGCGAAGGCGTTTCCAGCTGGTCCTTACGGGGTGGATTGCCACAGCGGCATTCGAATGATCGGTCGAACCTACTAGGGGGTCGGCACGATATGAGCACTGCCGTTGAACTCGCGCGTGGGGGCTACGGTTGTGTATATCGTGTGTTTGATGAAATAACAAAAAAACACGTAGCTTTGAAGTTACAAATTGGACAAGTAATGCATGCAAACTTTGTGCGAGAGGTAAGAGTGCTGGCGTATCTAAGACAATTTCGGAACAGCAATATTGTGTGGCTCATAGGCCACTTTCAGTACAAGCAAGGAACATTGATCCGTTATTACCTCACGATGGAGCTACTCTCAACAGACCTGCATCGCACAATGTATGCTGGATCCCAGTTTACTATTAAGACTACGCGTCGAATCGCGAAGCAAATCTGTGATGCGCTTGCCTTCCTGCGACAGGTAGAAGTCGTGCACTGCGACCTAAAACCAGGAAATATTCTGCTATGTCGGGCAGGGTGGACGTGGATTAAGATCAGTGATTTTCGATTAAGTTACATGCCTGCCGTTCATCATAAGCCAAAAGTTGTACAAACGCTAGGATATCGAGCTCCTGAAGTAATGTTATCTCAAAGGCGATCGTACGCTATAGACATGTGGTCCTTTGGCGTCATATTGACCCAGATGTACACACACAGCCTTCCTTTCAGAGGGTGGACTGAACTACATTCAATACGGCAAATGGTTGCCGTGCTCGGCATGCCGTCGAATGACCTGCTTCGATCGTTTGGTTCAGCGGAGCGGCATTTCACTCTGAATAAAGACGGTAACTATGAGCTCGTGGATGTTCTTGATGAAGCTCTTGAGAATCCGAAAAATTTAGAGGAACTGATTGTTCAGGGTGGCGAGCAACAAGATGTTAATAATGAACTAACAGAAAAGAGAAGACAATTATGTGACCTCGTCCGACGTATTTTTGTATTTGACGATATTCACAGACTGACACCGGATCAGGCATTGCAACATGACTTCTTCAGCCAGTATGAGGACGAATTGCAGCATTTGAACGTGCCCATAGAACGATGTGTAGAAGAATGTTACTGGATAGAAACTTCTATGCACTGGATTTAGCTAACAAGCTCATTGACTAATCGACAGATAATAATAATAAACGAAATTTATCAACCATAATTTAATCTATGCTGAATTTATTATTGCGTAAATATATGCGCGTGTTTTTTGTCCGCCCCCAAAGCAAACTCATGTTGACATTCAAATTTCAGTCAAACTAGGTCACCGCTGTAGCAGCAGCACTGGTTTTCCAGAGATGTTTGTTTGTGCAAAAAAAAAGATATGGTACCGCACTGTACTCAATACACTTATATTATAAGATTGCTCGCCATTATTTATTAATATATAATGATAATACGCAGTATCGGGTGATTCCAAATGTGATACGCGAACTAATATGGTTGTACAATAGTATGGTAGAAGTCGGAGGTAATCACGGATCTGTACGCCCAGAATGATAGGCCCGTAGTGATTTAGGGGGAAACCTGCTAACCCTAGAGATTGTCTAGGTTCGAACCCGGGCAGTTCGTTTCGTCATCAACTGTCTGTATGATGGAACGCCTGTCTCACGACGACGCCGATGATGAAACTCAAACATCCTAAAGATATTTTTAAGCGTTTTTTTTCCTACAAGGGTAAGTTCATCTGTTTTTATGGTTTTATTTTTCTATGAAGTTTTCACAAAAAAATATGACTTATATACGCCAGTAGCTAATCAACGCATTGTTATTGACACTGGCTGTTCAACAAACTGTACATATGAAGCAGTAACCTATGTGCATAACCGGCGACAATTTTCGGCCAGCGCAATATTGCATACATAGTCTAACTTCAATAAAAACGGCAACGTAAGAGTAAGCCATATTGAAACATCACTCTATGAAAGGTTATTAACACGAGCGTCGACGCGTTAACAGACCGTGGGACCGCTATAGAACGGTGTTGGAGGTGATAACGATAACTGCAGCAGTGTTTTCTGCATCGCTAGTAACGGCAATCCTACCCTGAACCATGGTAACAATGTGTTAGACGCGCCTTATGATGAACCTGGGAAATTGCGCATCCAATCATTATACTGTAGCCCTAATGTGTCTACACAAACTTTTAATTAGCGTTTGGATAATCTGGGAGCCCTATAGCTAAGTGTCATGTTCAAGTTTTTTTCTAAATTTTATATTATGCATCAGAGGCATTTATTTAAATAGAAGATGGGCTAGAACGTAGAAAAATATATAAGCGGAACAGAGCTGTTTTGAGGAAGGGCGTCCAACACAAGGTGTTACTAAAAGGTCGTTGGAAACCCATGATGTGGTACAATAATTTTAATAAGAATTTTCTGGGAAACGAAAAAATAATGATCCTAGAGAGGATTCGTAACACCCAGAAATGGTCGAATTTAATAGACGTTTTGGTTGTATCTGAAGATTCTGCATGTTAGGCTTCGTACATTTGCGCACCCAAAATATTGAATTTTTTGCCCGTTGTAAACACTTCTATAAGCTGTAGATTTATGGAAAAATGCATTTTAATAAATAGCACATGTAATAATTCAGTAGACAATTCATTTTACTTAATCTTTTTGTACATGTTATGAAAGGTTCGAATATACTGAAAACGAAAGTGCCCGTTAAATGTTAACAACAAATCGAGGTAAATAATTCATTTTTTCAGTCACTGTATAGCTTCCGTTCCGAATAAAGTACGGGATATATGAATAAGGAATAGAGAATAGGAGTTACCGTGGCGGGCACTTGAACAGATACGTCCCTTGACAACATTTCATTGACAGCGGAGACCTTATTCTCGCACAGAAACGGTACTTCATCAAACATAACGCGGCAGGTACCTGATCTGTTTCTAATATGACGATTCGGCAACAGCTGACGATTAACTTGATGTTGAAGAAAAAAAAATGTTCGAGTGAATTATGTACTGAATTATTATATAAATACGTTATCAGAATGCATCATTCTATAAATCTACAAATTACACAAGAGTTTACAACGGACAAAACAGGTTAACATTTTGAGTTGCGTAAATATATAGGCCTAGCGTGTCTGATGTTCTCAATGTTTATCCAATTCGATTATTTCTGGGCGTTACATATCCTCTCTAGAATCATCATTTCTTTTTTCATTTCCCAGGAAAGTCATTCCTTATTGCAGCGCGCCATGACCTTCCGATGACCTTTTAGTAACATCTTGTGTTAAACCGCCGTTTGATCTATTCCCCTTTTTCGCCCATTTGTCTCCACCTTGACCATTTTTTGTTTAAATATACCGACCCTGATATATATATTTATATATATTGATAAAAAATATATATATTTTTGCTTGTCTTTGAGACGCACGTGTACTTTCTGGGACCTACGACCATTGAAATATCGTCCTTTTGTTTTTTAGCGTCCGAATTACCAGATTAAATTTCAACTTAGAATTATAGTTGTGGATAGTTGCCTTATAAATTTAATCTGGTGAAAAACTGATTTTTTGCTGACACCGTGAGTCGTGATGTAAGCCGATCCATCTGGTGCGGTGCCAGGATTTTGGCTTGGAGGCCATACTTGTTCAACTCGGTAAGATTAGTACCGCAAAAAAAAGAATCAAATGAGCGCTTTATAATCGAAAGGGGCAGAACATTCGAAAAAAAAACAACTATTTAGAACCTCCAAGAACTAGTTGCTGTTACGTTCCAACAGTGACTGATCCTCGCACCGGACTGTCATCCTGATGAAAAATGGGCTTTTTACACGGTTACGCCATTGGGGAATACAACTGAACTGGTGGGACGTCACCTTAAAATAAATATGCAGCTACAATAGCTCGTGACGCCTGTACTGAGCAACCAAGATCGAAAAACTTCGCTAAACCGCTCCCGTGGCATAACAGCACCATAGACTAGAATCATTGTGACTAAAATGCATGAATTATCGTTGTAGGCTCTCTGTCATCCATCGTACTCGTCAAACCATACGCCTAAGAGATCGAAATTTCGATACATTGTAAACCGCTCAACTCTCAACATGATGTCGAAATCGGCTTTGAAGACTTTACAAGCTTTCATACTCCATATCCCAACAAAAGCGGACCAACTAAATCACTATCGAAATTGCAAAAAGTCAAGATAATACTAGTACGTACTCTGGTCGGAAATAGAATAACGGGACACTACCTTCGATGGCTAGGGGAGTGTTTGTAGCTTTTGGCGCTAGAGGATTCAAGTACATTATCATTAAAGCCTTCAGCTGTTTTGGTAAAGCGTCGCAGTGCTCGAACCTAGAAACCGTACGGCGGATCCGTAGCCAGCGACCGTCATATGTCTCCAACCAGCCCAATGATTCGCAGCTAGAAATTATTTCGATAAGCGATGCTCAAGCGATGTACCTCGATGATGCTTGCCAGTGAAATAAAAGCAAACAAGCGAAATATATTTCGAGTGTCAGAATTTACAAATGAACAATGTGCAAATTTACGTTACTTCAAAGGTGATTTCGGTGAACGCCTTTTGGGATATAACCTCCCTGGTGGCCGTTTAATAGTTCGGTAAATTGATTGCTTGTTTGTTGACGGGTACGCGATTGGACAAACCGCAAAGATGACCCTAATCATATCTATCTCGGTATTCCATATCGGTTATCCTCAGCGTACGCCCTATGTGACTACTATTCATACTTAATATGTATTTATTGCTAATTTAAACTCAGCTATGCATAACATCAAATATGTTTAGAGCAATTTCCAGTAGTAGTAGCTAAATGTCGCTTGCTAGCGTCAGCTTACCGTAGTAGCACCACGATGCAGCTCGTTAAACGTTTGAATCAGACACATCGAGATTGGCTTCCCAACATATTACGTTGCGCATTTCAGTTCTTTCTAGGTGACGAGTCGAATTAAACATCTTATTTCGTGCTGTGAGGTAGACGTCTGATGGAATAACTAGCGGTGCTGCGGGACGAAAAATGAGATTTGCTAATACTGTAAGAGTTCGTCGAGTTGTCCGTTTTTTCTCAACAACGAAGTGGGCATTAAAGAACGTTTTACAATGCAGTCGAATCTTTTGTAACGCTATATTGTTACAGTTGAGATTTATCAGGATAACATGATTGGATGAGACAAGCAGCTGTCATTTGGCATTGTTTCTATATTTGCCAACTGCTATAATCGATATGTCCGAAGCAGTTTCGGTAGAAACCGTTCCATATGCAGGTGAAGCTCACCAGTACGTGGTAGATACGTATTCAAAACTACATGGTGAGCAAATGTACGCTAAAGCGGCTCGGAAGGTATGAAGTTACGGTATATTAACACAAGAAAGTTTCCTCAATGAACCTTACGATTATGTACAAAACAAACCTCCCCGCGAGTGAATCAGGTTTTTTTAGCCATCTACTGTAATTTTCCTGTAATCATAAAATATAGATGATAAGAATAAATTTAATGAGCAATGAAAATAGAGGCCGAGGTCTTGTAAACACGACCGCTTTCTAACCTACTAAATTGGTAAAATCAACATTGGTGATATTTCAGCGGTTTGTCATTTTGTTGTACAAGTGGTAGCATATTGAACTAGGCATAGATTTACGAGCTCATACTAGCTTTATCTCTAAACGTTTTTTTTTTCTTTATCCCTAAACTTGTTTTAATTGCCACCAGAACCGCGCACGACAGATGAAGCATCGGAGCGGAGTATAAACAGCGAAATATTTACAATGGCTAAGAATACAAGATAAATTTAGATGATTATTAATAAACTTCCCAATAGTAACAGATGAAGTAGAAAAATAGCTGGCACAACGTCCTGTGCTCGTTCGCGCCTTCGTCAGTTCCTTCAAAACTGTGTGCTTTTAACCGTACCTGTCGAAAGTTTGATGTCTTGTTAAGCTTGCACGTAGGTAGACGGTACCATAGGTGATAACACATTCATTTTTACGGCATATCTCTTTTTACTGATTTTAATAATTGTATGTACTGTTTTTTGTACTGACAGCGAAAACGCGTTGTTGTGTGCGCCGTCGTCTTGTCCATGGCCACATTCATCATCGTTACTGTCATCATTGTCACCATAAGCTCTTCAGTATGGTTAACATCTTGACACTGAATTGATTGCTAATCAATTGCGTTAAGTAATGACTGAGTAACAACGTCAGTTCTATTTGTATTTAGTGCATATGGGCTCATATATATGTATATACTTGTAGATGAGTTATTGTCTCGATTTGTATGGGCCCTGAAAGCACTGGATAGTATCACGTAGTATTGGCATTAATTACAATAAAAATGCGATAATGTTCATGATTGCTTGTTAGTAGACCAGTGATTTTGTTGCAACATGCAGAATTGTATCTACGGAGCATATATAGATCACTGGGTCAAGTACCTAATAACTAATGCCTCACTAATGGCGGTAAATTTCAAATTCTCTAATGCCAGGATACTGACAACTAGCACTGCAGTACATATGTAAGGCAGGTAGAACCTGTGGTATGAGGGCTTTGTGTTCGATTGCAAGGCAACATTTGATTAATTAATAATCTATTTTTCGACTTAAGACTATATAAAGAAAAACAATATTTGATTCGAAAGAAGTTTAAATGCATTAACGGACACTTATAACTCTCTAATTTTAGTAAGCCGTATGTATTTGTCTTAACAATTAGGCCTAGTTTGCATAAATTCAATGCAGAAATATCAAGCCAGATAGAACGATCTCAGAGCTGTTTAGTTAACATTGTTGGATAGCAAGACAAGATGTTAAAACACGTATTTCATGATATCTTGAATTTTTTTTCATTTGCTCGCGTTCCTCATCAATCGTGGCAGCCTTCGTCTGTGGAGCTACCGTTGGTCGAGATCCCTGAATGGCCTCAACGAAAAGTTGTACATCGCGAGACTCCTAGTGGAACGACCTCGCGAGTTCTAAAAATACTTTTTACAAACGAGACCCAGAACGAAATTTCCAACCCAAATATTCAAGCCCAAGCTATTTATTCAACTATGAATTATTAGACTACTATTAGACGAACTTCCAGGTAGTGTAAACAGAGCTTCACTGATGGTTGATGAAATAATAAATATACAATGTTGGTTATCAGTATCTATGCATATGCGTCAGCTTGCGGACCTTTATGGACTTTAGAATGACGAATTACGTTTGTTTGACAAAACAACTGACATTGTAGTCTGTTGTCCTATAGCTTGAACATACGTCTCTTGTTTTTGATATTCAATTACATATTAAGACAATAAGTTGATCTGCATGTTAAAAATCTGAAAAGTTATTGAAAATGTGCGTTCACCGGAAGATTTCCGGGCTTAAGGATAAACAATACAGTTTGATTCAATGAGTAGCTAATACGCTTTGATTCATTGTTAATTGATGCATTCGAAATTTACGCAATATGTCGTCTAATTCTTCAGACAAAAACGTTGACGAATGGTTCTGCTTCGTATTTACTGTGACAAGTAGGTCTTTGTATTTAAATTGTGCTGTAATGAAAGGACGTAATTAACGCTACTTTATAACACGAGCACACAAATACTACATTGAAGACCGTAATGAATCATCTTATACAGCAGAAGAAGTCGCCCACGTTTCAACTATTGAGCTAATTGCCAATGATGAATCCTACTTTGAAGTTGAAAAGACTAAAATATATCTCGACTTTTGTAACCGACGAAGCATTTACTGCCGATTTAGCATTGCTTCTAGCTGGGTGATGCAAATGAAGGTTCCCGTTACAAATAGGTACGAAAAGATGATGATCTGTTTTATTTGCATGTACGCGTGGAATTAAAACACTGATGCTCGTGAACTATGGACTTTGGCCTGTGCATTAATGATAGATTATTCACTGGAATTCTAAATGTTCAATATAGTCTATTGTCTTAGGACCAAAGAACACATAAAAACAGTTTGGACCTATTGGAAAATTCAGGCCCGATCATAATTTGACAGAGGAGAGCTTACAGTGAACGACTGTGAAATATGATCCTCTTAGATGAGTTAATCTTTAATTTTTGGTAAACGACTACGATGCTTAAGAAAGGGATACTTGGCACTGTAAGATAGTAAAAAAACACTAACAACTACATAGGTTTGCTAAATTACCGTGTAGCCATCACATATAGAGGATACTCAGAAATGCACATAAATATATAGGGTGGGACCAAAGTCTGACAGTTTTGAACGCCTTTGCGGCGTTCTCCAATTATTATAATATAATTGTGTAATATACTGAACACCCTGCATACCCGAATGTCTTTTATATAATCGAACAAAAACGCCATAAATACTTGGATTTTGCACAAAGTAACCTAGTTTTCCTATTGTTGTTGCTGGCATGTGAAGTATAATCGCGATGAGTCCCCTGACCCCAGTTTCGTTATCAAGAGTCGTTAACGCCGCGTGCCTCTTCACTTAAACAGTACGGTGTAATCTCTCAATTAAGCTTGATCATGCAGCGTCGTCAGTGATGGTCGGAGCCGGATTCCGACTTATAACTTGCGTTAGTATCGGATGCGTATGATTCGCAAAACATCTACCTTATAGCAGATGGCAAATAAGACAAAAACCCCGGAAGCACGAGGGTAAACAACGAGCCTATGATATCAGTCATGTAATAGGACTTGGGCGAGTTCTGTGAAAGTCCGCCAACTGTAATATTTTAGAAACCGGGCGTTCACAAAATTGATATCTTTTGCGTTTACGCTGTGCAGCTTGTTCGTGCATGGCTTTAATAGCAGTCGTGATTTATGTGGTTATACATTTCGTCAGGGACAAAAGTTAAATGATTACGAGAAAATTTATGCTGTTAGTAAACACGGTAAGTAGAGCATATACTCTATCGCACCGATTTATTTAATAAAGTGTTTTATATACATAAAGTTTTTGCTCCTTTTTTGTTATGTCTTATTCAACCATTGTTTCAGGGTCTTTCAATGAACTGATCATGATTATAGCTAAACGTATTTCTATTATGTTGACTAGGTATTCCCGGCTGTACGCGTTCAGGTTTTTGAATGATTTGATAACGAGTAACTTTTTTCATGCAGCGTTTTGCAAATTTAATTTTGATTAGTACTAACATGTAAGAAGCCTTTATTAAGAAGTAAGCATAATTTATCTATTGTTGGTTCATTGAAACCATGAGGATTTGCAAAATCGTTGCACAACATAGATTAGTGTGAAACTAGATGTAAGGTACGCTGGGAAGGCTAGAAGTCCACAACATGAAGCTTAATTATGTAAACCTCGCACTGACATTTTAATGCTAACGCAGAAAACTTTATTTATTATTATTATTTATATTATTATATTGGATTACACATATTTTGCTATTATAAAGTTCATTCATTTTTTCAAAATATTCATCATCGACATTTTTCTCAAAAAGTCTATAAAGCTGTTAAGATTCATTAGTGTAGATCCTTGGCCTAATCTCAGGGCTTCTTAAAATCTGCTAACCTTTTCGTCGCTTTGTGAGCGAGCCACTTCCACAGGCCAACTTTAGCAAGCAGAATCAGCCAGGCACCAATCATCATTCGAGCAGTGTTGTTTGGATGTGAGTTCGGCTTTGCAATTTGCGAATGTTACTCTGGCAACGAGACTAATATCCGTGTCATGTCAAAAACAAATGACTAGAAGTGATCTTGCTATGCGAATACCGTTCGCACAGGTGGGCTGGACTCGTGCGCAGGGTCAGCGGTCCAGACGACAACTGTCAATATGAAGTTCTAGTGCTTCTTCTATACTCTGTAAACTGTTGCCTAGATATCAAAAAGCTCGAGGCAACTACTGCACAATCCGACTCATTAAAGAGTCGGATTATTAAAAAGTCATAACTTGTCGTATTGAACAAAGGCGAATAAAAAAAAACAGGCAGTGATTTACGTACCCGTTAAAAGACAGTTGTCAAGACAGGAAATCAAACTTCTCCGGCAACAAATGTTTTCGCTGTTTAAGGAGTTCTGGCTGATAGCGTCTATTCCGTAAATTCATTCGGCGGAACTGTCAAGCTATTCGTTCGTTGAGTGGAAACGTTTGTTAAACGAACAATGGAAGCTCTGTATGCGGCACCATTTTGCGTACTTCACGCCCCGAATTTGCGCATGCGAAAACCCTCATGGCTACGCCAGCCTTCCCCAATGACGGTAAGAACTTAACTGCAAATCTGTATGTATAACATAGCATGATTTAAATTGATCGTTTTTCGGTTTTTCAACTGTGTCATTTGGGGAGTGAATTATGTTCACAATAAATATGACCAATATTTGGACGTCCGTATCATCGAGACAAATCTATAAGTCTGTCGGATGTGTATATTTTTCTTGTATTTCAGGTATACTCGCTGGTGCTTATAAGCTATTTTCTTGTTTGCGGCGGAATCATTTACGACGTAATTGTCGAGCCACCATCAATTGGAAACACCATCGATGAACGCGGCCACTCGAAACCTGTCAGTGTTTGACCATGAATTGACCACATCAAGATCTAATTACAATTTAACTAAATCTTTATACAGCTTCGCATTTACAATTCCAGCATAGCGACATGATGGACTGAAAGGTCGCCATCATAGCCGGTCCAGTTGTTATATTCCTCGAAAACACTTGGAAGTTCGTATCGTGCATCACGTTTGACCGATCTTATTACACAAGTTTACTCTACAAATAAGAGTGGTATTGTGATGGTTCGAGAGAGCTCTACTACTGAAGGCCAATTGAGTGTCTTTTTGGCGCGGGAAATGATTATCTCTGCGTTGTCTTAAACGGCTAAGGCCATTAGTAAGTGGCTACGGGCCCCCTCAAATGACTTGCCCGGTTACTAAAATGCTTTGGAGTTGGACAGGGGAAATTTTAGCTCAAGAAAACTCGTGGGAACTCACTTTTCAAAAGCCACAGAAAATGCAAAGTTGAACTTTTTATTATTAGTCTGTTGTCATTGTACTACGTTGTAAGGACATGCAAACCGAAGCCATACAACAATTTACCATGTATCCACCACAAGGCGTCTGGTCACTTGTTTGATTTGTTTGACTGGTATTTTCTCGCTTGCAGAAAGACCTGCTGACCTAAATTGCCATTCAATTTAGTCATCAATATCATAGGCAACTTAATATCAGGACATTTTGGCTTTATGCAGTGTTAGCGTCGATTTCGTATATGCATTCATTACTTGAGGGTAGCAAAAACAACCCTAAAATGATGAATTTTTATTACAAACACTGAAATGGCACGTCAGGAAAATAGATTCACTTAAAATATTACCAAAACAAAGAAAGCTTTAACCGTTATTCTTTTTGTGCGCTCACCGTAACCGTTTCATTAACAGGTGGCATTCATGCCGTATCGCGTAAACGGCCAATATATTATGGAAGGACTGGCGTCGTCTTTCCTGTTTACAGTTGGTGGCTTAGGTTTCGTCGTTCTTGATCGAGTTCAAGCTCAACCATCAACGCCACGCCTAAATAAGGTTAAGAATCTAAATTTCTCATAACAAGCTAAGACGAATTGAATTATTCAGTACGATTTTTGATACATGCTTAGTAAGTATTCCATTCACTTGCTGAGCCACTGGCGCACAACCAAACATTATAGCAATTTTATTTAAAACGTTGTTTAACGTTTAGAGCAAATGCATATAAACCTGCTCAGAATAGAAAATACAATAAGATGCATACCAGTTATCAACAAGCAACTTTCGCCCGATTATATCCATCGGTGATCAGAAAAGGTTTGACCCTAAAATTTTGATTTACTTAACTAGCCGACCCGCCGAAGCTGCGTTTTTTTTTTAGAAAGAGAGGTGCTATATGACGTAACTGATATACAAAGCAATCTTTGTCTGCTGTGGTGCGATTTACGTTTGCGTTACAGATTCTATTGACCGCTGTCGGCTTCATTTGTATCCTGGTGTCATTTTTTACGTGCTGGATCTTCATGAAGATCAAACTTCCTGGGTATCTGATGGGATAAGCAAATCCACCCCGAATTGATTTCCGGTTCAAGAGTTTTTTAGAGAGCTTTATATAACAGTGGATCTGCGTTGTAAATACGTAGGGGAGTGACATCGATTTCAAGTAAAGCTCCTCCGAGTCAACAATTTAGAGTAACAAAACAATTATATTAGCGTTTATTGCGATTTCATACGTGCATGGATGGACATGAAAATATGTACTAATGAATGGTCTGATGTAAATGAATGGTAAAAAAATCTTGGAGCGAACTTCCGGAGCAAAATTCGGAATGAAATTTAACTGAACGCTGATCACATATGAGGCGATTCTGCTGATGTTATGTTAATTTATAGTAATTATCTATTGATATTGGAACTTGATGAATTGTTTCTATGAAATGCATTTTCTTACAAAGTCGGGTAAAAGGAACTTTGTACACAAATATTTGAAATAGTAAATCGAGCGATAACCTGAACGTTAAACCAATTATAAGTCGATATAAATATAACAAAATCGTACGTTTATTTTTTAATATAGCATTTGTACATTCTTGCACGCTTTCTTTGCGCTCAGTCTGCGATTCTATCATGCCTCATCTTCGCAAACACCATTCTTTCTAGCAGAAACACTTGGAGGGTTACTATTGCACTGAATAAATACTAAGAAAACAAAAGTTCTGTACCGAATTCTATTCCACAGCGCCCCTTTTATTTACATAACAATGCCAAAACTTGTACGGCTAACTGGCTACCGTTCTAAGGAAGGAATAATGGAAATCTATAATTTTAACCTCCCATAAATCCCATAGCATTACGTGTCGTACTAATTTACTCAGTATAAATATGACATCAAACAAACTAAACAGGACAGTGTTACCTTGTGCAGTACAAGCGAACTTTGGCATTTTGGTTTTCTTTAGCAGTGATCTATATCGGTATGCAACCGATGTACTGTCTTATAACCGAAGACAGACATAACACGGATTTGTTATCGCACTATACATTAGACCCAATATACGATTACTTTCTTTAAATTTAAATATCCAACAGGAAAGAGTCACTAAAAAGTATATACAAAGATTTTCAAGCGGGACAGACTCACACTAATAGAATTCCCACCCCTCAGGTTTGGGATATCCAATAAAGTTTCCGCTGAAACACACACTTCGGCCAGGTAGGGGGTACCTAATATCACCGTTTCGGCTAAGTAGGAAACATTCACGGGCAGTTGGAGTAACTAAAACGGAGCACGAAGAGCGTGGTGTTTTGGTGCGCCGATTGCCGGACGAGGCACTCGGCTGAGGTGTGTCATCAGAATTACTAGCAGATTCAACAGTTCCCGTTGCAAAGATCGCATTGAGGCATTTTTCAAGCTGAAATGATTAGATCGAATCAGAAAAAACGGCAAGATAAACACAACCAAAAAAAAAAAGTTATTTAAAATCTATTTGCATAGCCAACAATTGTATTTACGGCCTACAATATTATAAGTTCCTATAGCGCCGCGCACGCTTCATTACGTAAGAGGTTGTGGAACTGCCGTTACCATCCTGTGCATAAGTTGTTCCGATTCGAATAATATATAAACAATAGCATATAATTTTCTTACCCATTTAGGTAACAGAAGGTTATCCCATGGTTTACATATTTCAATAATAGGTTTGATATAAATGCACAAGTAACAAACCAAAAAATAGATTGTGCTGACCTGCCGGTAGTTCGAACTCCGTGCGTGAATATGCAAATAACGAAAATTTCTTTTGATTGGCATTAGATATTTCGCAATAGCACTGAGATCTACACGGTCTGTCGATGATGATGCCAGGCACAGCTGGTTTAGTTGTGCAGCGTGGGCGAGGCCCTCCCACAGGAGCACGGAACCCAACATTAAATTATCGTGTTCTAGCTTCAAATGTTGCAGGGATCGACAACGTTCGATGAAACGGCGAAAGCCGCAAAGGTATTCGCAGCTCGACTTATTTCCGACCGATATTATCTTGAGGGTAATTACCGTCGGGCTCCATAAGCTCTCAAGGAGGGCCCCGGCCAGTGGGACGCACTTCAATGTTAAGCTTTCAAGTCGCGCCAATTCCGATATCTAATGAGGAAATAACCAAAACAAAACGTCAAAAATAAACTTGAAAAAAAAGCAAATGTTATTTGCAGGTGTTGAGGTTTTTGACGTTAGTGATAAGTACAACGGAGAAAGGTTGTCAGGATGGACCTGTCAATTTTGACTCGCTTTCAATTATGTTGATATATTTTATAATCTTTTGCACAATAAACGACTTTTAAATAATGACACTAAATACACTTAGGTTGGCATATCTTCTTATGTACCTTTCCGAAATACAAGAGTATTTTCAATAATTTTAGTAGAATCGCGTTATCTTTGCGGGAACAATGCGCGTATTGCCATATTTTTTTTATATTTAGAGTAAAATATAACTCCTGGGTGTATCAGAACTTAGCCACTAGTTTTAATGGCAATTAAAAAGGCAAAACAAAAACTAAATATATTCTACGTTTGAATTCTACCTTTCCGAGACGTCTCGATCGATTCTCGTTCACCATGCAGCTGCGACATTGATCGCCACGAATGTACAGCTGTTTCAGTGGGAGCTCCGACAATGCTATAATCACAGCGCAGTCTCCGTCGGCGGTCGATGGTGCTACTCGGAACCTTTTGGCGTTTCTAGTACGAAAGGCGGTGGTAGCGAGATCAAGCCTTGGATTTGATGAGTTATTCTGTTTCGTCCCGCTTCCATTTGAAATCGACGGCAGCATACAGGCCGGGATTGCTAGAGCCTGTAAAGCAGGCACAGCTACCATCAGTTGCCACCAAGAGGTCTCCGGGAAGCGCCAGTGACACTTTGTGAGATTCAGTTCTGTGAGGTGCTTTGTGAGCAATTTGCTGAGGCAGTGCGAGGGAAAATACTGACAAGTTGGATGGAACGATAAGGCAAGACCCTGTGGTTGTCCCCAGTTTGGTAACTGGATCGATCGTTGCAAGGCATCCATTTCAAGTAGGATGGACACACTCTTCTGTACATGACGGAGCAAGTGGACATCTTCAGTTGACTCCAATTCGTCATGATTCGCTTGACGGTACGTTAGCACGAGGTTGCATCGACCGCGTTCGAATACCACCGTTTTAAATTCGGCGATCGCTGATGCCAGCACCGTGCTGTTATATTGTAATGGACACGTTTGAAACAAGCTTGGTATGAGAATCAACAATCGCTGCGAGCTATCACGCGCTTCGGATGAAACGATGAGGGTATGTAACGTCTGCCAGCGTTCTTCGAAAAGAAATCCAGATCGGGCTCGAGCCATAGAATGGCGAGAATTGAACGCCGGTGGCAGTAAGCGGTCGACAACAAATACATGTAGCCATTCGAGCCTTACACAAGTATTGATTAGGTCAATGGCGTAAAAGTAGTAAAAGTCGATGGGAGGCACTTCAATATACACCCGTTTGATGTGTTCATTAAGTGGGAAATCGCGTTGGCTGAGATCGATCGCTGTCGGAAGCCCGAAATGTATCGCTTCTAAGCGGCGTAGCGCTTGCGTAACCGATAGCACGCCACGAATCGTCAGGCGGGTGTTGACAATGCTGAGACGCTCTAGATTCGGACATTTCAGGATCAGACTTTCCAACTGGCAAGAGGTAGCTTGACAGTTGCTTATATCCAGAGTGCGTACGTTAGATCCATAGTATTTCAGCAAACCTTCAATGTCACTATTGAAATCGATGAATTGCAATGATGCGACTAATCGATGGACTGCATCTTGGCAACGTCTTGATACCTGAGAGAATAAAAAAAAAAATATATTGAAGCCTTACAAATTAGTACTAAAGGCCTTCTTTTGTTTGTTGTTGAAAATTTGGGCTTTGTGAGAAATAGAGATGTTGGGCTCTTACTTTGACGTCTTTTTGGCGTAAAGACGTTTACTTTGACAATATAAGCGAATATATTGAATAACAAAAAAATATATATAGGAATATTTCATGTTTAAGGATATGATGTGGCATGTCGGTCATGGTTTATATTATCCTACAATAACTATAATGTAAAAAAATTAACCAGTTTTGAACGTAAGCTTCGCGCCCCCACGGTCTTAAATAGCCATAAATTATTGCGTAATACAAACAGGTTTCTTACACATGTGCGTGACTGGATCTTCTCTATAACAGAAGTAAGCGGGGAGTCACTACCTAATTAAAGAGAAGGCTGGTAGTGAAAGCGTGACATTATGGCCGACTGTCGTCGGATCCGATCTCTTCAAGTAGTTTTCTAAAGATCGGCATTGGGCAAGCTCCTCTTTCTTCTAACTTGATATGTGAATAGCATCTCAGCAAATGCATGAATCTATGTCTAGCCTTAAACACGTGTTTTTGTAAAAAGACGGGGGGCCGAAACTAATCACAAAACCATATCACATGTTTTACGGATCCCAAACCTGTGAAAATGCTGCAAGCGTAGTCGTATCAAGAAATCCGGCAATCTTCTCAAGGATTTCATTTGGAAGCACTGCGAACGACATTCTGAGAGACGGGACTCAAATACTGTAAAATGAAAATAATCAAGATTTTTTCTAGTTTACCAATAACCATGCCACATGATTATTTAAAATGTATTGTTTATTTGCATTTCAGGCGTATAATAAATGAATGCTGATATGCTAAAGCCAGAATTCCAGAACATGTCAAACAAACGTCTCGAGGTCAAAGCTAACACGAAAAAAATATTGAAATTTCCAACACTAGTTCAATCAGTTATTATAAAAATCAACAGCTGATTTGTAGTGATAAAACAATTTTAAAAAAAAGAAACAGTGATATGAGAATACTTCTAGCGGATGTTTAAACATAACAACTTTATCTTGTCGTACAACAAATCAAAAGGCCTAATCATTCTATTCACGACAAATATAAATTATACTATTGTAATGTTCAAAAAGATCATCTCATACCCGTTTAAGTAAGCTGCCGAAAAGCAGGGTTAAATGAACAAACGTCTTATAAGCACACAGTGTTTTCTGGAACGTATGTCAGAATACATATTCACAAACACAGCAGCTGACCTTCAGTGATTAGAAATCCTATCAACGATCCTTATTCATAGAAGACATGCACATCTTGTAAACTGCTGATTTATAATAACATTTATTTTGGAATTATATGGACGTTAACCTGGAAAGGCATTTACATCGCACATTTTTTACACGTGTGCTTTAGCAATGTTCTCCTGTCCATATAACAAGCTATAGGCTTCACAATAGTATAGAGCGGTGTATTATCAGCTGTTCTCTATACAGACATTGAGCAGACGCCAGACACAGCAGCTACAGCCGCGGGCTCCCAATTTAGCGGAGAAGCAATAGCGTGGTAAAAAGTGGAAAAAAAAACCGTTGTTTAATTCATTTAAGTCGATCTACTCATTTTCAACAACAAATATGCAAACGCATATAAAGTGTTAGTAGTATACCAAGCACTGGGACCAGGCGACTGCTTCTTATTACATCTAACATTTCACTACTAGGTTAGTCTTGAAATCGACAGCACGGCTTTAGTTAAAAGTTAGTTACCTTACTTTTTTTTTACCAAGAGACTTGCTTAAAATAGGTATTCTACTACTATCATTCTAGGCCAATATTTGAGCAGCTGTTAATTAATATTAACCAGAATAGCCTATTATTAAAGGAAGCATATAAATTCATGGAGAATAAAACTATTTTTATTGAAACTCTATTCTAATTGGAAGAGATTATTTTTTTAGAAAGTGGAGCGTATGATAGTCGATTAAGCCAACGCTGAAAGCAAACGTTCACGGTATCTAGATTCGTTTCTTGTTTCGAAAGCATTCAAGTATTCCAAACACGATCTTACGAATCGTCCTTCCATGCTGACCAATTCTGGAGAACCTTTTCTTGTCCAAAATTAAACTTCCACAACATTAAACAGTTTCGACTAATGTCTTGCCAACCAGACGAATTTACCGTAGTTGCCAACAAAAAGTACGTCCTTAACCAATAGTCTCGGTATCACTGTGAAGAGCGTGTTTACGCCTGTTGTGACTATGAGTGCTTACTATGTCATGATTTACCATACTAGAAAACTACTATTACGACAACAAAATGCGAACGGCTTTAGAGATAATGTAAAGGGTTTAAGAGGGCACTACAAGCGAGTTGTTGCAACATTATCTTCTCTAAAGGAGGTACAAATAACTAGACTTTAGTACACCGGATGTGAGAACGAGTCAGTTCGATAAATTACTAGCCAGCAAAAACTAATGCGAAGTTCAGATTATACTAGGTTTAAATTTTATGACTAAAAAAAAATCGGTTTTTGTCCTCACAATAATACTATAAGCTGTAGTTCCAATGCAAAGCTGTGCATCGTTCCTAACGGAAATTTTGTTATTATAATAAGGGCGAAAAATCCCCTACTGAAAATGCAGATTTACTTAAGACATAAGTAGCAAGCATATATTGACAAGCATAATGCATCCTGTATGCTTGAATATATAATAGAATACAGCCGTGTCATTCACCTACGTCTAAAAAGCGTGAGCATTTTGATGTATAGTCTAGAGACAACTGATACAAATTCGCCCAATTTCAACTGTTCTTTGTCTTCAAAATCTTCGCACCATTGGGTAGTTAATTTTACTTTCAAGTGTCAAACACGAGGTTAACAATAACTGTACGGCCTAGTTATAGTGTCTAGCAAATCAAACACAATAGATCGTAAATTTCGAACAACACGAAAAATTCATTTATTGGGTACTCTTTTATAAAATACATTGTATAAACATCACGTCACAAATATATTGTACAAATATGTTGCCTAAGGGATTAGAAACTAACTGGCCGAAATTACTTCTTCTTTTTTAATATACTAATCCGTGACAACGATCAGCGGCTGCCAACTTCAATATTTCTGCTGTTTCTTTCAGTATTTCGGTTTGCTTCGATCTAATGCGTTATAATAGTAATATAATATATAATAATAAGCGTCATATATATATGTATATATATGCAGTCGCCTCATTCACCTCATGGTAAGTCCGTGTAGCCCCAGCGAAAGAAGATCACCATCTTCTGGCCTTCTTCCAAACAAACAATAGTTATGCCTGATGTTCCATTTTCGTCTGTATAACTGTGTTTTACATTTGAAAATCCCTCACTTTATCATCATTCCTTGCGACAGCCTTTACCTAACAGACCTTTGACAAACGCGCAACATCTACACGCTTTGCGCCTTAAAAATAAACAAATGCTTCTCTTCCTTCACACTCGTCTGATCAACGCCTTCGTTACCGATGATGGTCATTAAACAAAAATGTCTTGTCCACTACAACATTCCCTCAACAGACCGCCGCTCCAGACTATCCGGAACAAAATATTAACAGGTGATCACATCTCTAACCCTCAACAATTATTTAACAACACCTCACAGAGCATGGCTAACAATAGTTCACTAATTATCTCTTCCGTCATCTTCGTCATCTTCGTCTGGATACTCAAATTCGGCGGTCTTGACATCCAAGTCTTCGCCATACTGGATCGCGTTATCAATAAGCATGAGAGCGTCGCTAATTGATTCTTCGTGTCGGATGTTCAGGGGTACAAATCGAACTAAAGAGAAATCATCCACCACACGAGCCAGCGCTCTCGATAGAGCCTCAAATTTCTGAAATTGTGAAATCTAGTTCATTATAAATGAAGACATATTTTCAAAAAATCCTCGCAACGAATTTTATCGGGCAAGCGTCTACTTTCAGAAAGGCGAAACGCAGTATGTTTCTTTTATGAAACGCAGACCGAGGGTCTCCAATTAAAAGAATGAACAATCTTGTTCGTCCACATAGGTTAATAATAGTTACAGCATGATGTTAGTCTAAAAAACTATATTGTGGCCAAGCTCTTATTTCACAAAGCTGGAGGTGCTTTCTTAATACGGCTTATCGTTTGCCTTAAGCATGCGAAAAGATAAAAAGAATAATAAATAATATCTAAAATATGTCTGTTATATTTTTATCTAAATATGTCTGTTTTGAGTAAAAAACAAGCAAACAAAAGAAATGCAAAAATGAGTGAAGAAGCAGCTACGCACCGGATTCAGATGTGCTTCTCGACTGTCATCGAGCAATGCCTGAGCTGAGCTGTCCACAAAATCTGCGATTTTTCTTCGCCCCGCAGAATTGAGCAGATCCATTTTTGACAGGATACAGACAAACGGCAACTCGAGATTAACCATCGTACTTAAAGCAGACAACACTCCCGAAAAAAACTTATGAGTCTCGACCATAAACTGTGCTTCGATCAAGTATACACCGCACACTCTATAAGTGAAAAGAAAAAGAGTTATGAAACAGGAGTTGTGCTGTTCGGCAAAATGGCATGTATTTTTGGTTTTATTAGCATTTGTTTTAAACACGCTCCTAAATTCTCTTCTCTAAACATCCCGCAATGCAAGGGTTAGCACAAGTGGTTTGAGAGCCTCTTAATGACTTCATGTCCCAGGCATACATTTTAATACTTGAGGAAACGTCTTAGTGATACAGAAACTGATATTACAAAAGTCTACAAATGTGATTGTTGCGATTAAAAGTTTGTAGACATTAAGTCCTTTCTGAGTAAGGAAACGATTGTTTCAATAAACTAAGTATACATTCTTTTACTCTATTTTTTCCATTTGTTTATTTATTACAGATAAAAAGAAACGGAAAGTTTTTTTTATATATATATATATATTGGGTGGTCAAAAAATTATTTGCGGAAGAAACTAAAAATTGAAGCGAACATTCTTTTTATGTTATAAAACAATATTACTACAATCAATGACCTTCTGCAATTTCTTTAGAAACACCATAATCCAATCACTATTCTTCTTCTTCTGCAATTTTTAGGCAAAAAATCATGACAAGTAATCGAAACTTAATATTAACACCATCAAGGGAGTTCTGCAAAGACCAAAGCAGATGGTAATCTGATGGTGTAAGATAAGGCCTATATAGCAGATGTATCAGAATTTTTCACCGAAGTTCACTAAATTTTTGTCCTAAATGCGTATTGGGTTTAGAATACTCATGGAAGAAGACAAAGTCAAACAACTGCATCCTTTTCACACACTTGTATCATATGTGATCCACTTTTCATACCCCGTGGTTGATCGCCTTAAAAACGTTTCTACTTCGTCGGGTTTCTGTAGAGTCTCGTAGATGGAAATATGATAAAGTAAATTCCTTTGACCCAAATCGTGTGGCACCAGGCATTTCTTTATTTGATTTAAAACTATTTGGTGACTGATGTGTAATTCTTTGGTGATGTTATGGCTAATTACGTGTCGGTCTGACTCAATTTTCATAATAATTTCGTTAACTTTTTGCGTAATCGGTCGACTACTACAAGGAGCACCTTTCGCACAGGAGTTTTTACAACGAAAGTAACAGAACTCTTCTTGGACCGCTCCTTCCGCTCGGATCTAGTCTATAACCAGTACAAATTTTTTAATGAGCCTGAGCAGCATTTGTGCCTTTATCGCAACGAAATCGTAAGATAAAGAGAATTTTAGCAGAAGCCTCACTCAACCTTAAAGCGCCTTACCTTAGGTCTCAGTAACGGCGTTTCAATGACTTCAGGTTCAATTTTTGTTAAATCTGAGCTTCAAACAGTCCCACATGATTTATCTTATATGAGATACGTGGCTCTTAGCTTCTGTTGCTAGCGAAACTTAAATACCACAATATGCCAATATTCTTTCAACAAACTAATATAAATTACTTTATCATATTGCAACACACATGTACCTATATCGAAATGCTGATGACTATTTATAAAACCTTAAAAGGCTGTTATTGTACCTGAAGTCAAGGCCAGCAAGCATGTCAGTGAATCGCTTCATCATGTCTAAATGAGTGTACAGTTCGATCTGTCCTGGACAATCAAATATGAAGTATTCATCGTCCGCCGAATCCCCGAGCTGTTCGGTTAGCCATAAAGGGTTTCTGTAATTAGAAAAATACGTTTATATCAGAGTGATATTACTTATATTTGCTCATTACTAGGTGCACCATAGAACCGAAAATTGAAATATATAATATTGGCGAATGCTCTAATAGATTGCATAACTGTACGTGGTTCTGAATCGCGTATTGCCAAAAATAGAATTTTTTAATGGTATTTTTCTCAAATTCAGTTAATTATTTACTTGAATTAATAAGTTTCGCAGGTGATAGGTTTCTTATTTAGCTAGCGTTAGATAAGCTGACGTATCTGAACGTTGTGGTCGAGTGACAGCGGCTGTTGTGGATACAGATACGAACCGAATGAGGTATTCCAAGCAGAAGATTAAACCGCCATTTGGTCCTAAACGAAGCTCCTCGTCCTCCATCACATCGTCCAGATGGATGAGGTCGCGGACGTCCAACATCGGTGAATAGTCAAAGTATTCACAAGCCGGATCTAAAACAATGGTTATCACATTTTTTCTAATATTTAATAAGGTGAAAGAAGTAGGACATTACTATCCTAAAATGTCTACAAAAAATAAGGGGTCGTTAGCCATAAAACCCAGCAAGCAAAAACAACGCATTTTTAATGGATAAAAAAGACTATCATATTCATAAATGATGCTGCACCCATGCTTTGGGCTGTCTGCGATCATATTGTTGAACTGTATAAGTCGAGAAAAACATTGAAATAGGACAAAGTTACATAAAATATGATACAGTGAGTCCTGAAAATCGTTGAACAGTATCGACAAATATTGGTTTCACGACATTACCCAGGTTGACAATGTTGACATCTCTTTTGGTGATTTCAGCATGACGCGCCACAACAGAACAAAAGGTCGATTTTCCTGATCCGGCCGGACCCATGACTAGCTGTGCATACCGCATTTCGTAATATGCTGTGGTGACTCCTGGTTGCGATGCCTTCGAAACTTCGAGTAGCCTCTGTCTCTAAGTGAATAATCGTCCGTCTTGTTCCAATTAAGGTCAATGAACCTAAATAAACTTTTCAACCAACCTTTAGATACTTTTTGCCTAAATTAGGTTTTGTATATAAAGTAACTTCATTATGTGTAAAAGTTTCGATCGCGCTTATTTTCCAAAGACTTATGTAATTTCGTTTTTATTAATGTTATTTTTATTATTATTGTCATAAATACAATTAGTTACGATTGTAGTTAATGTAGTATCTACTCTATCTGGAAACATTCTTAAAAAATGTGACAAGATATTTTTGTAACAAACCTGAAATCTTTTTTAGTCTACGATACGGAGCGCCATCTATATAAGAGCCACAGTGCCGTTATTCCAGATATCATTAAATGTATTTTGCAATGAAACCCAACATTGACCAAAAATCTATTTACTAAAGACGATAGTCTCGGTTTGGCCGGTCTAACATTAGTATATAAATAGGTAAGATTTGCAAAGCTCGAGGAAGGTTAGATTATCGTGCATTCAAGTATTTATATAGCGCTGAACGTTAAATATGTCAACATCGAGCAGTATAAAAGGTCAATATCCTGTATCCGTAATCGTTTTATTTTGCTTCGTATCAATTCAGAAAAGGTCATTACCTAGTACTTTACTCTTATTTGAAAAATTTTTCGAAGATACAGAAAAACTGTTAGACTTTATTGATCATAGCCGGGTATGCCGCTTACTGTTTTTTTGACGACTTTCAGACGCCCGAATAATATAACGCGGCACAAGTAACGCTTCCGGATAGAATACACATGTAACGACACTATCACTAGCGAATTTCAGCTAAACTGACAACAATGAAAAGGCATCAGTTGTTGCAGGACCTCACGTTACCGGCACTGCGCGACCATCACCAAAACATTCACAATTTTGTCAGTGGTACCTCTATGGTACGGAACGCACGTGTGGCACTTTTTTGGTACGATGAAAGCGAATTCTAGGAATGTGATAGTTAATAGAAGTGTTATGCCATTGTATAGGTTTTTGCCTATGTATGTGATAAAAATGATTAATGTAGATGTTGTATATTAGCCCGGAGGAAGTCTTAAATTCTATAAATGTAAACAACGTGTATCTCACTCTATTATAATATGTATCATATCACTGCGCAAGGCTTCCTGAAGAGTGTGCTAGGCGCATATCCATGACAGGGTTATCTAAGTTTTGGATATCGAGAAATTATATGCCAAGATTCTGTGTTTCTTCTTATCTTGTATAGGATATCTTAATTACCTTCGTATTACAGAGCTATGTTTACAGTAACTAACTTAAAAGACTTTTAAAAACTAAATAGTTCCGTTTCCAGATATCGTAAATGAGAGCTATTTAGCGTTATTTTTATCTTTATTAATTTATTTTTGTTTAATATTTTAGATGGTTATCCTGATAAATAGTAAATCTTGACTTTTAGTAAAGTCAAAATCTATTTTACACTATCAACGTTTCTACTATACACAAACGCTGTCTTTATTGTAAGCCGTTGCTTTATCCCGTATCTGAGGACAATATGTTTTGTGGATCATTTCTACTATAGTCTTTAATTAACGAAGGTTAATAAAAATAATTCGCGTCAGCCAAGTTTCCTTTGGCCAATGCTACGTGCTCCTTGGTTATAAAAACGTTACCTTCAGTAATAGCAAGGTAATGCCGATTACAAGGGCATCGAATCTACCCCCCTCCCCCCTAAAATGAGCAACATTCTGAACAGTTTAAAGCCATATTTAAGAACACTTGCACTGCGACAGAAAAGCATAAATGACAAAACAATCGTACGCGCAAAAATAAGATGAAAAGAAACGAACTGCTGATGTAGGGGGACAATCATCTGAAGCTACGTTTAATTAAAGCAGTACCGAGCGTCAAAATCAAAACACCTGTTTATCACTGAGTCGAGAAAGGATATTTAAATATAACTTTATTCTACTTAATATATATATATATATATATATATATATATATATATATATATTAAGTAGAACAATAATTTCAAATAATATAAGGCAAATCCATAAATGATTATTTCAAACTCGAACAATGACATTGTGTTTCACTTAGCGGTAATCTCAGTCTTCTTGAAAACATATTCAACACATTTAAAAGGGCGGCAGTGACCAGAACCCTGGCAGATTTTCAAAAATAACCTCCTCACAATTTCTAGAATGACCGTATAAAAACAGACTTTTTTTTTACACAAATGAAATATGCAAGTTTTGTAGGCAACACATTTTTATTAGCACATATACTTGCCTGCAGAAAGCGGGTTGGGAGCACATATACAGCGTATTATGTACATGTTTACGTGTCGTAAAGTTGTCGTAAGTTTAAAATTAACTTTCTCATATTGTGTTATGGTAGTGGTAATTGTTATTTTGAAAATGGTAATTGTGGTCATCATCGTCGTTGTCACTGCCATGATCATCAGTAAAGGCAAATAATTCCTCTTTTTTGTTGTTGATTGGTTTCGCTACCTTTTTTGTGCTTTTTTTGTTGTGCATGAATCACATTTTCCAATTGCTTGTTCCTTTCAACAGTATATTGAACTCCGCAGGGCGCTGGACAACGACACAAACATTCACGAGGCCAATGCGGTAGCAGCAGAGCTTTTTTATTCATGCATGTCCATATCCATTACATCTTCTTAACATTTATCTAATCCCACCCAATGTTTCGAGCAGCACAGACATTTGCCTTTCTATTCCGCCTTTTTATTATTAATCATATAGTAAAAATGATATGTGATATAAATTCTCGTCATCAAAAAACTCATCCACCATCATAAGTATCAATCTTACTAGAGTTCGGTGCTCGACTGACAAAATTCCAAGAGTTGCTCCTTTGTGCAGCCCCGCTCGTTATACGTTGGGCAGCAAATACAACGTAGTTTTGTTTGAGCGATTGCTGGGTCAGAACAGACGTCATCATCCCCACTGCGGCGGCGTCGCCGCCGCGTCATTAATGGATCCATGGCTCCCAGGACGACAAGGTTCCAATGCTCCTTCGCTGGACCATAAACCTTGGACCTTTCTGTAAGCGGCATTGTGTCTACAAGCGACAAACGTATAACAAGTTAGATTAAGCATATCGTCATAGCACACAGTTGTCGTGCACGTTCTACCTAAACAAAGCTATTTCTAATTGTTTTTCGGACGACTACCTAAACAACCTGTGTATCATATTGGATAAAGCTGGCAGACTATTTGTCATAACGGACTTGCGTTTCTCTGTTACTTTTTCTACAAAGCAAGCACCAGTTCTTCTTCAAATAGCACAACAAATTCGCTATGGCGAACAATACAGCCTTGCTGTCAGAATTCAAGCGAGCGTAAGCTATTATCCAATCTTTCCATGATGGCTGAACTTTAACCTTGGCCAAAAGCTCCTATTTCGCCCAAAAACGACCACCTATACTAGTATTGGTCTTCCGCGCTTCTGAAAAATCCGAGGAAGGCTTTTATAGAAAACCAGAATATCATCAATATAGATTAAGTATTAAGGGCCCGAAAGATTCTCAGGGTGGCTCAAGAATCCATTCCTATTACCAAATAATACAAAAAAAACAATGACTCTTTCGACAAGGAGAATATCAATCACCAATCACGTGGCTCAGATAAGCTCCAACGGTTGATCTTTTTGTACCTTTTGAACCTTTTGGCTGTTTCATTGGCCATTTCATTTTGTAGGCCTTTTCGTCTGCTATCAATTCAAAATCCACTTTCGTCGGAATTTTTGTGTCTAGGCTATTTGAGCGATACCATAAAAAATTTATCCTTATCGTTTCGTATCGTTTCCTTATCCAGTATCGTTTAGTACATGATTATTAATAGAAATTTATTAATTAATTAATGGAAAATGACTACTAAGTGATTTAGGTTCTGAATTGGAGCTGTACTCGCGGTGAATGCTAGTTATAATGAATAAATGTGACCATCAGAGATAACACTTCTAGTACGTGCCTTGGAGTATCTGTTTTTGTTTAGATATAATCTTAGAAAAAAAAAAGCATAAGAAGTATTCTCAATTTAGATATGCTACTCTGTGTACATATAATAACAATAAGAATAACAACAATACTATGCTAACTAATTATTGCTAACATATGCAACGCCAGCGTGCTATGTAAGCATATGCTCTTAGTTTCCTTTTGAAGGCATTGCATGACGCTATAATCAGCAAGAAATTCTGTGAGATTGGAGGATGACGTGCAGCGTCTAGCCGGTCAGACACAACATAGATTAAATAAGTTTTTCGACGTGAAGAGCCACGAAAGACATTTAAAGGAAAAGCTAGTTCTAATACGTTCCAGTACATTTCTGGCATAGTTGTTGTAGTCGGTCTTGTTGATAAATCCGTTAGTCTTTTACCGTTGCACTACGATAACCGACAAATTAATATGGGAATAATACTGCTACACATATTATTATGAAACCAACAGAGCCGACATTAGCTAGGACTTTACAGTTGCTCACCACCAACTGGTGGTGGTTTTCTTAGAATATCTGATTATTAGGCAATCCGCCAGAAATAATATGTCCTAAATCGTTATGGTTTGGGTTTAACACGTACTACTATAGGAGGACCTTAAGACGTAAGCATGGTTTGCCTTTCACCGAATCGGACAGTCGCCGTCGAAACTTGATCGAACTTTCAGGCTTGTCCTTAAGTAGCCGTCAGGACCACCTGCACCAGCAAGGCCGCTTCCATCGTTACATTCGTTAATTGCCTTTAGCTTACGTTCAAATAGCTTCAAGCTGGGCATAGCGTTTTAGGCGTCCTCCAGAAGAGAAACAAATATTCTCTAACTTTTCGAAGTTAATTGGTCATTTTATCAGTTCCACAGCCCGAAGCCGTTTTTACTTCCTTAATAGTAGTGGTAATAACATGTAATTTATGTACGTATGTAAATTATACGAGTATGTTTACTTATTTTCTTTGCAATGATGAGCGACTGCCCGCATATGATGAGTGATGTACTAGCCATAGACAGCAACAGCACCACACTCCAACGGTTTTTAATCAAAAGCCTGTGAGAAGCGTTCTAGGTGTAATCACAATTGACATGATCTCTGCACATGACAAATGTCTAGAGTGGATCAACCCATTAAAATTAGCAACTTGAGCGAACCGCCACACTTCGTCGTAGCAATCATAATAGAAGTAGTGGTCTTCAAGGGAACCCAGAGCCGAAGGTTACAGGACAGGTATCTGCCAAGGACCAAAAAAGAAAATACTCACACACAAGTTTACACATGAAGACCATATGTTTGTTGGTTTACTCACCATTGAATGAATTGAGGTAGTAACCGGATCGTTTGCGGCCTATTCCTCCGTAAGATTGACATAGACTTATGACTAAAGATGCGAGGCGATTCCCGCATAACTTGAATCTGGGCGGCTCTTCGGAACGAACTGACCGTATGGGATTTAAACCCAGGGTCTGAGGTACCGTTAAAGCCATAACCACTAATAAACAAGCTAGCCATGTTCGAGTAAGCACCATTCTTACTTCTCAGATAACTTCGTTCTCATTAAAAATGCTTAGACACGGTGACGAGCATAATAGAGAAGGTTTGATGAAGTTGGTCACCTACGAAGTCTTCCTCTTGTTTAGTCCGTCGACGCCGTTGATCTCTGATTCCTTTGAACGAGGACGCCAGTCTCAGGTACGATCGAAGGTCTTTCCGACTTTTATGTCTGCTGATCTAGGGGATTATCGGATACGTCTGCATCGCCTCGACTTATGGCCTTCTACGTCAGCGTGTGAACCCGGTAAGTGTAGCTCGATTCACCAACTTCACTAATACACCGGTATGGCCAAACGCACCTTGTCTATTCCTCTGAATAAGCGGTCGACTAACCGTTACAATAGTCACAATGACATGCTGTTCTGAGTCATCGAATTAACGAATATTGACTATAATCTATGTAATATCAAATGACCGATTCTAAATGGCCAGTCCAACGTGTTCAATTAATGTCGAGCGTTTGCTTTTTTCTGCTTTGGGACATCAGGTCATGTATCTGTATTTCTATGCAAATTACAGAGCATTCGTTCGGTATCGCCGCACCGAATTGAAACACAGGCCGTTAGCGAAGGTTGCATGATGAAGGCAAAACAAATGTCATTGACAGGCGGGCATCGCTTCCTCCGAAGGCATTTTACCTTGTTTTTGTCGTTGAGGGCGATTGGTGGTAGCTTGTCGACTCCTCAACATCGAACTATATAACCGTCTACTTATCCAGTGTGTAGGTGCTGCTAACAGCGGCACACTAACTACCTTCCTGTGAAGGAGCCTGTTAGACTGATCTTGCGGATTAGTAGCCCATAGTACTGGTATGGTTTGTCCTTCAAAGGAAAAGGCCATTGTTCAGATTAATTACATTATTTACGAATATTTAAGAGGGACGCGCTATTGCGTCCAATCGAACACTTCCATATTCTTCCCGTTCGAAAACGTCATTTCCATAACATCTTTGATAGTGGTAACCTCGGCCATAGTTTTAATAGGCGCAACTTTAAAAAAACCTTGTTCTTGAGATATGAAAAGAATATGATAAAGGCATGCCATGTCTACTTGCTATATAAACTTTCAGGTTTATTTGTAAACGTGATGCTTCTTTGCTCAACTAGTTATGAAGTTGTCTCCCCATTGAAAAATTTTTAACTATTACCAACCCACAATCCCTTACGGCAATGGGTTCCGTCAGCTCATTGCGATGAACGCCTATAGCCAATCACGTTTTGCATTAAATAAGTGGCCATCCTTCAAGTAAGATAAAATCTTGTTATCCCGCTGGTCAGCTGCAAGAGGCGAATATTCACTGAAATTTTTATTTCGCAAGCATGAATGGTCGCATCTACAACTAACGAGGAGATCACTGCGCTGAAAGCATTGTAAGACTCACTTTTCCAGCCGAAAGACTTTATAAAAATGACAGAAGTCTATCTAAGTAGAAAATTGAAACCTTAGCAAAACACTCGAGAAGAATAGTTTCATGGTCTGAAAATATACAGTAGGTTTTGTCAGCACAAATACGGAAATATTTGAAACTCATATTTCTTCCATTTTTATTCAAGATATAATGCGCCAAGCTTTATGGATATCGAGACAGTCGACAAGTTATATTCCAATGCTATCCTACGGGAAGACATGGTGCAGAGTTTCGTAACATACGCTTGTGTATGGACTTCGCAGTTTTTATTCACTCTAGTATGTCTTCATAGAACGGACCAATTCTGAGGTAATCTAAACCTTTAGCCTCTAAACTTTTGGAGTTAGAGCTTTAGCGGTTCAAGCTATAGAACCATAAAAATGACTCCTTCTCAACCGTTTCGCGATTGACTATATGAAATAATACGGCGGAAAAAATCAAATCACGCACTGCATGAACATTGGTCATGTCCTATCATGTGAATACGGCGCATTTAAGTTCGAAGAAGTCAATTACTTCTTCTAATTATGACTTTTTTTTTGGGGACAGGACTGAGCTCAAATGTTGAGCCTGGCTAATTTCAGTCATTAACTAAGTCATATCACAGGCCACGTGCCTTTTTTAAACGTATCGCCCAGTGTCACGTATACGTCATGTTTATTCGTTAAATTGCAGAGAGAAACTCCTATCAGACCTGACGTAGACGTATCGATTCTATTTTTATTGAATTACCATTTTATGATGAACTTTTAATCGCGGCTGGCGTTTTGCTTAGCGTACGTACTAATGTCTACATCTATACATATATATATATATATATATATATATATATATATATATATGCATATCTGTATATATAATATCTATATCATGGCCCTAGAATGGGCTTCCGTGTAGCTGGTTTGGTTTACATGTGAGCCCTGGTGGCCTGGCCAGTAAGCAAGACGACTACGGTACAACGCAAAGTTCCCAGGTCTTGCGTGTGCTGAGTCCATTAATAACGAAGGTACATCGCGGCATATTGATATCGAGCTGTGTTTCGAACACCTGTTGGTAATCTGTAGGCCGACTTGTTTGTCTGATAGAGCCTCTAATGATCTGGTAGTCCGTAAGGTTTCACAGGTCAGCTTCAAGCGTTCACGAAAACTGTAAAGAGTTCTTTGCCGACTAGTATTAAGTAACCGTCATGACTGGTCACCGAGCGGTTCTGTCGTGAAACATGTCACGACTATAGAATTCATTTCGGTTATATTATCTGTTTATCAGGTGTCTTTCGCGTTCTGAGGCATTGATTTAATACTTAACTTCAATTAACTTTGCCATTTATTTGTATTACCCGCGTGTTCGATTCATGTGTTTAATGCGCAAATTCTGCTCTGTATAAATTTCAGTTGATCACAGCCGGCATTCTAGTACTATACTGAAACTAATCATTTTATATTTTATCAATAACTATAGAGAAACAATAATATGCAGTTCTAACTTTTACTGACTATATACAATTTTCAGCGAGAATTCGACCAAGCGAACTTACTGAATTTAGCTTCTGCTCTAGCTACTTCCTAAATCAGCACATTTGCCTTACGTGTGATCATTTGCTCTGAGTTCATGCTTTTCCATACATTTGTTCATTCGGTCGATAGACTTCTAGTGTTATTCTGCTGTTTTTCTCATGGCGAGCTACACACGCCGGTGTTCAAAACGGGCTAACCAAAGCACTTCTTAAACTAGACGGCCAGTGTCCGGCAGATCTTCTTCATTGTCTCAATTCGTTATTAGACTCAACTTCGACCGCTAGTCTCGGAGGTACTGTAGAATGTTAATTTTCTTAGATGACATATCACACCGTATGTCTTTTCGCCTGAAAGATCTTAGCTTGCACCGTTCTGATATGGTAGATTTGTGTTTGGAGCCGAATAAGTTAGCATCCCATGATACCTTAGTCCGTAACGTATTTGTCTGCTGATGTTGGACACACATTGTGGTCCTCTGAAACGATGGCTTCAGCTGCCAGCGCTGCGGTCTCTGTTGCTGTTTTATTTACATAAATAATAAGCAACTGCTAACAAATCTAGGTCAGAACAGCCGTAAAGTTGTAAATAAGAACAGACGACATAATCTCACGTTAGTTCAGAGTCAACGAGTACTGTAGCGGAAGGGCTCGTTCTCTTGAGCCCTGGCTCTCATTTCAGCATTGGCAAATGGTTTGCATGGCATGTTGGTAGTATGTTGCTTTATAGCTGTATAGGATAAAAATACTACATGTGCAAAAGTAAACATAAATTAATCAAGATCTTAGTTGACTTTTTTTTTATTCTATTTACCTGTATTTAACAGGTTGTTTAGTTATAACTAGATTGCCGTAATATTTCAATACGAATATCATTCGAAATCCCGCTTGGACACAGATGTAAGGGTCGTTAGTAGTACACCGGCGTTTGATCACAGCGCTTTACCTTTGTTAGAGTACAGTTTTTATCTTCCTATATATATATAGATATATACCATGCTGATTTACTTACGTGAAAAAAATGTAAAAATCGAACGTCACGCCTGAAATTAAGCTGTGTATTCTTACTTTATATGCCTAATGTGCCATTACTGTTATAATAAGAAAAGTGTTGTTCAATCATTTTCAAGTTAGAACAAATCGATTCCTTGGGACTCTGTTCCCAAAACACTCATTCTCTTCGGTGCCATCCTCAGTTTGAAATTCTACAACCCACATATCTGTCGGCATCGTTACGTTGCTCGCATTAATCTGTGTCATTTATTTCGTTGCGGGGAATTGCAGCAGTCAACTTGTCCGACCCGACAGGTGTTCGTTCACCCTTGACAGCCATCGTTCGTAGCACATCTTCGTTACACTGCGAACTTGTTGTATTCTAAACAAATAAGCAGACGACATCTGAACCCTTTCCCTAACTCCTGTTTGGGTTGACGTCGCCGTAGGTTCCCGCAGCGATCCCTGCCGCTGTAATTGGTGCCTAGCTGCCTGCCTGTCAAAGAACGGGAATAGAGCCACCTCACGCAGATAGGAGGCCTGCGTAGGCCCAGGGATAGAACCATACACTTAGCAGTCAATGAGCTTGCGAATTAGTCAAAAGACCGACTCACGCTCAGACCCCAACCCGGAGAGTCCTCAGTTATTCTCCTTTTCGCAGCTGCCTGCCCTGAGGCGCCTGTCTCACCATACACTGTTATTTTAACATAAGTACGAGCAATGTCGAAAAATTTCGTCTACGGTTGCAATTTAACTGTTGTGAAATAGAGCTGATAGACATAGAGAAAACCTCACCGGAGCGGTGTCGGCGTCAAAAAAATAATCAGCATGTTACTAAGAACGCTAAATAATGCAGTTAGTAATTACGGCAGATGCAAGTGACAAAAAGTATTACTAAAAGAGTGACCAGATTTCGCAAAGTGCAGTCCTACTCTTGTCGGTACGGTGTCTTGCTCGTTCCGTCCTGCCTGCGTTGTGTCTGGGTAGGTGGATCAAAGTGGCAGCATTGCTGTGTACATCAATACATGTGTGTCTGTTTATACTTTATTTGGATGTTAATGACAAAATAATAATAGGAAGAAGAGGAGCGACAAAGATAAGGAGTGCTTCTTATATTCGAAGTGAACACGCGATTTGTATCAAAGGCCAGTGACATCCCATCTAATACCACGAAAATACCAAAGAGAATGCTGATTTTCGCTACTTTGTGAATGAGTAAACCATCATTGTTGATGGTGGCGAGTGACGGCTAGGCCGTGTGCGCTTTTGCCTTTGGCGCTGGCTTAGAGGAGGGTAGCAGAGTCCAGCTGTCGGGTGACGGCAACACAGTGAACTTTTCGAAGCGCGATACACCCAGTAAAGGGAATAACAACTAGTTCAACTGGTGTCTTGCCATCGGCTAGAGCGGTGGGGTGTTCTTGTCAGTGTACATAGTTTCGGATAGATAGCAATTCACAGACCGTCGGACAAGAAAGATTTGCGAGAAGTGGCTGACATGGCGGTAAAACTTGACGGTAGTGACAGCGCCAGTAAATAGATGTGTAGAGTAGTTGTAGTGGAACGGCGAGGAACTTGTAACAGGTCCGATCAACGGCCTGCTTACTGGTTCATCCGGCGCCAGCTGGATGAACTGCCCGTTCCGACAAAACACGCTACTTCGCTGATTGCGTTTAGAAAGGTAAGTTTTTACTTGTTTTAAATTAAGAAAGTTGTTACTGTATGATGTTTACGATTAGAGAATGGGAAATTTTACGACCATCGCAGTGGCTTGGTCCAGGTAGGTTGAGTTGCTTATTTACAACAGATCGTTGGGAAAGCATTTGCTTCGATGGATTTATACCTCAAGCGAAATTGTAGTTGCTTTGTTAAATGTAAAAGCATTATGAACCTGTAGAAACGCAATTTGTAAATCATATTACCACCCTCACATTATAAATGGATAAGTACTGTTTTGAACCAATATCAGCTTTTTATTGCTGACTCGAAAAGGCGAACATGATGCAAAACTGGGCAACTTCTGATACAGTTATACGCGCGAAAATAGTAATCTCTTCTTCGAAAATTATGTCAAGTTGTTCACATAATAGTATCACTTAACCTTCAAGTTACACAAAGTATAATCATAACCTAATTATCTCTTACTCGTAAAAATACGATTATTTGTAAAATGGACACGGGGTTCAATTTTTGCAGTTGTCAGCCGCATGACTTTGCCCGTAGAATAATAAGTTCATCCCAATATAATCAGTACCTTAAACTACAGTAGCATACGTATGAGCTGTTACGTTACACTCCAACTGATCGGAGCCATTCACTTTAAAATCTAATATGTATGACACTAACTTGTGTATATACATATATACATACGGCATGTATATATATATACAGTTGTTCGGCCGTACGTCGATAGAATATGTTTAGCCATCTGCGTAACGTGGGCTGGGCTGCAGATTGATGCGTTCTCAAAGGCTTAGATGCAGTGCGTCTGCATGTCATTTTGGGCTGGCTGAACTCTCCAATGCACGCCTTCTAAGATAATCCATTTGGGCGTCAGAAGGCCTGGAGGAACTACTCTACTAAATTATAACATAATTCGAATTTACCTTCGTCAAGGTCACTTCATGGCAACGATATTTATAGCGTGTTAACTATTGATACTTGGTAGAATTTGATGACGATTAAAGTTGGTAAAATTGAGCATTCAAATAAGCAAGTTTGTACTCAATAGTAGTCAAGTTCAAAACAAACAACAAAAATTAGTTATTAAAAAGAGAAAATTATTTTGGGTCAACTTGGTCAAATTGATACCAATATTAGGGGCTGTCATGGGCTATCCTTCTTAACATCTCGTACGTTAGTATCATATGGCTGAGATCAATATAAAGGAATATATTTATTGAGATGTTTTCTGTTTACCTAAAAAATCATTGGACAATATTTGACTTAGTTTAGCAATACCGTATTCGGTTCTATATACGGCGACCAGGTCTTTTGCCTAGTTCGTATTCTAGAGCCATTAACAATTGAACTTTTTTTTTTTTTTTTTTTTTTAAAGAGCTCTTCAATAACTATCTAATTGGTCAAAAGCAGTGGAAGAAAAACTATCCTGTTCAGAAGTTAATTTTAAGTTCATCCACTGCGGTTACAGCTGAATGACGATTGCAGCATTTCTTTTCCTGAAACAATATAATTCCTTTTATTGTAAATGAATTTCTTTATAATGTTCTTTGAATGCTTAACGTCTCTTTAAACGTTTATAAGATAGGTCCACTACTGAAGCTTCTTAGGCGAGTCGACTCTAGGGGGTTCTTAAAATTTTCGAATGTTGTTCCCGCTCTGTGTGCAAACAGTCTGACTTTTGAACGACTTTTTCCGCTTCTGAACGGAGCGTAAAGCACGAGAACCATTTAATTGAAGGGAGATTTTCTAAACGAAACCAGACCGGCGAAGTTCGGTAGCAAATAGTTATAGTTTGCAAACAAGAATCCGTGCGGGTACGGCATGAAAGTGAAACATATTTTTTATGGAGTACCCTCTGAACCTAGTGCAGTCAGATATCTGTGCCGTCAGCTGGATTTCTAACACGTTATTCAAAAGGATACGTTAAAAACTGGGTTAACATATACATGCTGGACTATATCCAGGATTTCTATTTCGAACTCCTTAGTGAGATTTTAGCCTGAACACAGAACGATTTTTCATTATGTGTTTGTTCATTGAAATAATAAGTAGACCCCAGTGAAACATTCACAATGGGTCTTGTTTTCATTGAAGTTCATAGTTCCCATGGCATCGAGTATGTTTTGACAGATGATTGATTATCCAGGCCACACACAAATCAACACCAGGAACTGTTTATAACGGACTGTTGCATTTAAACTATCGCTGGTGATGACTAAGCTTCACAGAAACTTTCAATAGTTCGTATTAACACGGTGCCATATAATAATTTGATGCCTATGTTATCGTATTGGGACATTCAAATAATTGTTTATTAAGCGAGCCATTTGGATACCCCATCAAAGATCACAAACTTGTGATTCGAAGAAAATGGGGGGGGGGGTCTGAGAGTTTACAGAAGTTTTGATCGCTTATAGTGCTCAATCATATTATTAATGAATGCAATTATTTAATTTGTGCGCATTATAGTCGCAGCATTTAGTCATTATGACATACAAAGTGCGCATTTTCAACATTTTTCGTATATGTCCTTTTCATTGCAGACCTCTCGGCAGTTATGAACGTTTGATTGCTGGTACAGGGTCTGCCGCTCTGAAAACCATAAACCTAAGCAACTCCGAAATAAGTTCGGTGGGCTGGCACAAAACAAGATGTTTAAACGTGACCGAAATATTGATATTGTGAAGAAGGCGCAGGCTAAAGTCATAGAGCCGAAGCGCGATTCGTTCAACAGGCTCAAACATCTGAAAACGTTTCTCGGTAAGTGAAAAATATTAGCGAAGCTTTATCGACAACCTACTGTTGTCAAGTTACTGCCATTGGCCATTTGTTAACCACACGTGACAATGTATCCGAGGCTCAGGACTTTGGACTCGGCGGAATGCGTTAGGAAATCGATGGTGTTCAATTAAATCAAAAGGTTTTGGCCATAATGAAGCTTATTATCGCACATACGGAATAGTAACTGGATGGAAGGATTTCAACAAGTGCACATAGTACATATAATAAGGAACAAACAAAATCTGGCCTAGAAATATAATTGCGTTTAAAAGCAGCCTAGATGTACTCGCCAAGAGGGTAGAATTGCGTTCTTTGGAACGTATCCATAAACTCCATCTCAGATGTAAAATATTGCTGCATTTCCCAAATAAAGCACACTAAATGCTGCTATGTGAGTGATAAGAAACGAACGTGAGTGGAAATTTATTTTCTTTGTATTAAACGTTTTATTCTGTTTAGAGCATGTCGAGAATCAAGAAGCGAAGGATTTCTTCACAGCCAATTACTCAGTGTTGTTCTTCATCTTCCACGACGCGTTCTCTATTGTTGAAGCCAACATCCGAAGTAAGGGAGGTAAGTCTAGTGATTTGGCGTTCGAACTCTACGCATATCATTGTCTTGTGTCAGGATATTTTTGAGAGCATTTAACATTATGCATGCAAAACGCTGAACGGCTAACGTACGCCTCATTAGAAGCGTTTTACTCTTTACCGTCACATGTTCATTGCCTGTTGTTTAATTGACGGCCATATACGTCCGCAACAGACAAAAATGCTCCCGTTCTAGAAATGTTCTAGAAAAAACTATGTCTTCAACTCAAACGGTAAGCATCAAGGTCTAGTGTTGCCTTACTGTTGGTCTTGGCTGCCGCATCCAGTGGTCAGCTTTGTCCTTGATAACCATCTATTTCATCTGCAACGTTCAGATAAAGGGTAGAGCTAAAATAGTAGGTGTGGATAGCGTCTTGGATACACTAATTTATTAGAGAAATAGTAAGAAATTGTTTTGGTCACTCGCAGTGCACAAGAGTCAGCGCGAAGAGTTCGAACAAGTACGATTTTTGTTCGAGAAGATTTTAACCCTGCTTCCTGAGCTGCTGGCCGAAGGATGGCAAGCGCACAGTATACGGATAGCGATGAAAAAACTACTGCATCACGGGAACTCTTTTAAGGTAAAAAAAGAGAATAAGAAATGCTAAAATGACAGATCCGGTCCACAATACCCCTTTTTCTGAAAGTCTGTTGTATGTATGTAAGACAATGCCTATTTGTGTGCCTTGCCCATGTTCCTTGAGAGACATAAGTAAATCTAGCTTAGCTTAGCTTATGAAACATTTTTTGATTCGTATATGAGTGGCCAGATCTGATGATGATTGTGTACCGATAGGCTGCGCGTCATGAGGGACGTTTAGCGTATAACTTAGTATACGGTGTTTCAGTGGAATGTACAGTTTCTATGGATGTATGTTTTTTATTTTATAGATATACAGGCGTATGTTCGGCACCGATCGTGATTGTTTGATGTCTTTTGTGTATGACGCGCAGTGAACAAATCGAATTCAAGTAGTTTCAATCAATAGATGTAATCGATTAATAGACGGTAATCAATAGATGGAAGGTCGCTTAACCATTTTATTTTGACTTTGTGATATTTCAGACGCTGTGTGAAGGAATTCGTCTGTTTATATTATGGTATCAAGCGTTGAAAGAGAACGCACCTATCGAGGTTGGTAAATATTGCAGAAGTTCAGCCCTATCTTTTTGTTGGATCTTCAATACTGGTTTATAAGGTTTCTTTTGTCTCCTATTATTAATGCACGTTTTTAGGTGGACCAGATGTTTGGGCAGCTGGTGCCGGGCATAGTTCCACCTTCCACGGTATCCATCGGGCCACAAAGTCCGCAGAGAGATGAGGCAAAATCGCAGGAGTCCCCACCGAACCCCAATACAAACAAGGATCACACCTTTTATACCGTCATCGAAAATGAGATTGGTAAAGAGTGATCTACTGAATTCATGTGCGGTCTATATACACTAGTGTAATAAAAACCACATATATAAATTAAGTGAATAACTGGATTATTTACAGTGTCTTTAGTGTAGTAATGATAGTCCTAAACTAGTATGATCTCAACTGATTTTCGTTTATTCGACCGTATTTAACTGGTCGGCCTAGTAGCATGCAGAGATCTAATTTCGTTTGCCGTTTATAGGTCCGGTAGTTGCCGGCGATCAGGGCTGGCTGTTCCCGCCGGTCGCGGGAGATATCCAACCCGAAGATCTCCAATCTGCCCTTCTCGAGTTTTTGCTTCAAGCTGTCGTTGCTCAAGTCACAAAGGTAATGTGATATCTGTGCATGCAGCACTCAAGGTGATAGTACCCTAAAAATTAAGCCCTAGCAAGCAGGATTACAATGTATATCTTCTAGGGCCGCTGTCATTATCCACTAAATTTTTGTCTTAAATGATCGCTAGGAAAATGGTGTTATTCATTACTCGAGGGTTATTTTATTGGTTTGATCTCACATTTTATTTTACTGGCTAAGTATATCAGTAGCCTTAACAAATACACTGGAGGGTGATGGTAATTTTAATAGGATTTACTTTTAGTAATCGTTTAACGAAAAGCATTGTATTCGTTTTGCACTAATGCTAACCATCCTTATTGATGTTCGCCTTCCTTTCAGATCCAATGGGCAAAACTCGTGGTAAATGGAGTTCGTCAATACGAACGCTGTTTCTCGTTCCTGCTCGAACGATTCCGGGCCGTCTACGTTCCGCATTTGTTTCCTCATATGTCGACTAAATATAGCCTCTATACACCTAACCTAGGTTCGTGAATCGTTCATGATAGACATCTGCATCCGAGAACTGCATTCACATAAACAGATGGACTGATTCACGCTCGGCTGCGTGCTTGGAATCATCCTAATGAAGTCCTACGTTAATTTTGATAACTACGACAGTGTAATATATACTACCTTGAATGAAACAAATTTAGCGAATTTAGCCCGCGTGTGGCCTATCCAGTTGCATACGCAAAAGTTCTAAGTGATAATTATACTGTGTGTGTCGAACGTTGACAATTTTTATCGTTATTTTATAAGTGTAACTTACTACATCTGTATAGTTACACGCCTAGAGCTTTTTTCCTACTTTTCTCTATTGTTTCTACTGGCCAACAGATCTGCCAGCGGCCGTCCGAAGTGACTCGGTGTTACTTTCACGGGTTCAGTCCGTAGTCCTACAATGGCTTGTTTCCTACGTTTCGCCTCTTCGAGATGAACGTGAAGCCGGTGCCACACGAAACGCGCAGCGCATGGAGTCGTCGTTAACATTCTATGCAGCTAAACTTGCGTGGAATTCGTTTGTTGATGATGATATGCAAAGGGTAAGCCTATAAACAATTTTGATATAGAATAATTATGGAGTCCGTGAGTTAAGGTATAGGCAACTTTGTTAAATTTAATGGAAACTAATTTAATGCTCAAAGTTTCTCTATGACAATTTATATAAAACAAAAATGAACAGGCTAACTTATCTAATTTAAATTATTATTTGAAATTCCAGAACTACTAGGCCTAAATCGACAACATGAAGCTTATTCATAACGGGCCATCTCCCGGAAATAGCCATTTATTACTTATCAAATTTTACAAGACTATAGATACCCTATTACGATGTTGAAGGCTATTACGATGAAAAGTGGTTGTGGCTTTTGTACATCATTTGTTACTTGGTTGATTCCAACTCTAGATTGTTCCAGTGCTTCCGGAAACAGATTTCCTGACCGTCGTTCAGCGTGCCGTTGTCCGAAATGTCCTTTTCTCATCGCCTGCGAATGTTGACTTCGTACACGAACTCTTCCGTCAGTGTTTGGTCTCGCCACTCGGTCAAACACAAACAACAAAAAAAGTAACGTATTTTTTACCGTGACTGCTCTAGTCTCTTGTTCTCATACAGCTTTAGAGCATGACAGAAGTGTGAAGAGTAAACATGCAAAAAACGTTTAGAGATAATTCTAAAAACTGAATTGATTAGTTTCTTATGCGCTAACTTAATATACCTAATAGCGTTGTATCAAACTAAACAGTCAGTAGTATTTGTTTACTAGAACGTATTTCAATAATTGTTAGAAGAGTTGCAGTGGGGAATACTACACATTTGACAGCTGCTGTGTCTGCCAGTCCCTCAAATGTGATGTTCTTTCTTATTGTAGGTAATTGCTGTATACCGTGAATGGATCCAGCTAACTCACCCGGACCCGCCATGGTTCCTGGTTGAGCAGCCATCCGCTGATCAACCAAGGAATCCCGTTTATTGTGGCCAGCAGAACCTCTATAAGGTATCTAGCCCCTTAGAGTCCCATATCGAAGATTTCGTGCTCAAAAAACTGAATCGGTACACGCCACTAACGTGGAGAGCCAACAAAATACAAACGAAAACATCGTATGTGATCCTATTATATGTAAATTTTAATTTAACAAAAAAGTTTCTATACTCGGACTGTTTAAAATAGGTGTTCATAACAAACGCGTCGAACTTCTTTCTACTATCCCTGCCGGCTGCAGAGGGACAGCTTCTCGCGGAGCAGGTCGACCTCTGTAAACGCGTTATGAACATCTATCGGTTTATGGTTATGAAAAAACTCATGGAACGCGCTACTTGGGAGCAGCTTCTATACGTCATCCTGCACGTCACGTCTGAGGTGCTTGACCAGTCCTCTGTTCTGGCTAAAATCAAATTTACAGTTCATTCGGTGATCAATATTTGCATGATCTTGTTGTTTTTATTTTTTTCCGTAAGAACTTAATCGATATTTAAACATTATGGGTAACAGTCAGTAAAATGCATTAGGACTGAAGCAAAACAGCCGACTTGTTCCTAAGCAACAAAACGTATCAGGATTCTATGGTCCTTTCTTACCACAGGGGATAAAAATAATAATTATTAATAAAAGTCTTTAATCTTTTAGTATTCTTGCCTGACACTAATAGTCGATTGATGTGTGGCAATAATGACGATAACTGGGTACTGTTACAGGTGTTGACGCATGACTCTCCTCGCAAAGATACTGCATCAGCAGGGTCGTCAGGCGCCGCTGGACCTGTAAACACCGCAGGTACAATTTTAGGCCTACACTAAATTAATCTGGATAAAGCTTACCGTTAAAGCTATCGTGACCTATTGTCAGATATGGTATGAAAGGAACATGTTAGGACGTGTTGGTAATTTAAGCATGGATGCGGGGCGAGCCATTGTGATCAAATTTGTTGCATAGTATGATATGTCTACCAGCTTTGATCATAAAGACTTTACTCATTTATGCTGAGTCCTCAGCTATCGCCATTAATTATTACTAACAAATTCCGATTAACATTACTCATATAATAATAATAATGCTGTAATAACATGCACAGGCGTAGGTGCAACATCGAGCAGCACTACTGAATCGCTGGGTCAACAGTTATCTGCTGCGTTATTTCAAACCCTGATCGTTACGTGGATTAAGGCTAATCTTCATGCGACCATTTGTGTCGACCTATGGAACGGTTTTGTCAGAGTGCTTTCGACGCTAGCCCATTGGGAGCCGCTTGTGGATGAGTGGGCTGTAAGTTGATATATACGAAATAGCGTAATGGTAGATAGATTTAATACCGAAAAACCACTAAAACGACGCAAAAGAAATCATGATCAAAACTATTCATGAATGGCTAGGCGGCATGTAAGTGTTCAACAAACAACCCAACTAGATCACTCTATAAGTTACTCAAATTGAACGGCTCGACGGCCATCAGGCTATAGAGAGTATTCGATGGTTAGATCATAAACTATAGCGTGATATAGCATCTTTGATAGCGTTTTTGTAGGATTGTAGTGACATTTATATTTATAGAACTGGAGCAGGCTTTTAGCGCCTGTTATCATCTACTCTGCTAAATTAGGTATTGCTTGAACACAGACCTGCTCTCTGTCGTGATGTGTGGAAGTAAAGAGGATTACATTAGATTCTCGGATCATGCTGTAAATAGTATCTTTTGTTGTCTTAACAGAAGACGATGAAGACACTCACTCGGATCCTCACAACGCGAGTTTACAACCTCGATTTGGACAATCTGCCGTTGGACAGACTTAGCGAGCAACAGTCGAAACGACGGCGGGCTCTTGGGAAGGGCGGAAAATCGCAGGACGGCGAAGGTAGACGAGGGCCCGGGTCTGGTGCGGCAGAAACAGCTTCGGGTACCGTAAGGACCCATAGAATCGCGAATGACGTCGAAGGCAGTAGTAAACTTATTCAGGGTATGCTTGTGTGCGATAGTATTTACTCATTATTCAGACCCACTGGAGATATCAATATCTGGAAGCTAAAGTAAGGGAATATACTAACGTTTAAGCTAAGTTGGCTTCGGGGTAGCTCTACCGGCCTATTTTGCAAGTAAATCTTGTCCCGGTGGGTACGAATAATTTCAAAAATGGTAATGGCTTTTCGTGCCTATACGTTGAGAGCTACAACATATGACTAAGCGCGAGTAACTCTTGCGCGTAATAATAGGTGTCGAATTAGGATTAGTGAGGACTTGTCATTGGTCACAAGCATTACGGCTTATTCGAGGTAATGAATGCAAGATGCCTCAGTTCTTAGGGAAGTCCCGTTGTTGTGCAGCAGTCGTTCGAATCGGTCGGAAGTTGGTGCTACTATTGGATCAGAATATCATGTTTATGCATGTTTTGCATTGGTACCATATTTCCACAGGCAAGTCAAGTTTAGCGGAATTTCTGGGCGGAGTCGGCAGTTCTGGTTCTGGGAGTGGACACAGTCCGGCTTCCCTTCAGCGCAGCTTGTCGGATTCACACATTTTAATGCATCGCCGTAACGACATGAATCTTGCTCAGGTTAACAGACAAAGCGCGTGTTTCTTCAAGTTGATAGTGCGAACATTTTGAGATCGCCATTTTTAAATATACGGTGGTATCAAAGTGCTTGTCAATTTATTGACGAGGTTGCTGAGAACTTACTGTATATCGTGTTCGATCGAACAGCGTGTTCAGAAGGCGATATTCCTTATAACACCCTTGTGGAAGATACAGTATAAATAAAAGAATATAATATAAATATATATAAAATAATAATATAAATAAAAAAGCGAACAAAAATGAACTAAGCTGAATTGGATTCTGTCTTTGGGCAGGGTGGACGACTCGGAAGGGTCCGGTCACAACGCTTGTTAGCGTCGCCCGGCTCCGGGTCATTCAGTGGGGGCTGCCACTTACAGCAAGATTCTGCGTCTGCGTCTCCTGCAGCGTCAAGTTCAGCACTCGAAAGTTCTTCGATCAAAGATCACCAGCAGCTGATTAATCACGTGATGGACTGTGCTTCGTCAGATAACGGTTAGATTTTACCTGCGTATATATGAAGACAATAATGATGTAGGTATTTAATCGTAGCATCGTGCGTATAATTCGTAACTTAATGCAAACTTATGTCGCTTTCCTCAGATAATTTTATCGATGCGCAAATCTATCTTGCACCTTATAACAAGCCGAACTTGTCGCTTTATCGTCTTGCATTGCACGTACTCTTATCTGCACATATCGTTCATACACAATTAATTCTCTATAGTAATTTGTAATGTAGCAGCTTAGACTAGTGCTAACGGCATTTTAGGAAGAAAGCGATTAAATAACGTTGATCAACAAATGTGGAAAGATTCCCACACCAGGACATTTTACACGTAGGTATCACCTACTACTAATAGCGCAGAAAATACTAGTTAATAACTACTATTGATACACTATATAGCACATTAACAAGACGCAATTTACGTTCACTTCCGCTGCCGACGCCGATGCATTACACTTACTACTGCGGTTACAATGGTGATGGACAATGTTGCACCCAACAACAACACTGTTAATATCTTGATAACAAAACGTATGTCGCAACGTTTCTGTTTGACGTCTATGGAAACTGGAAACTGGGCCTTTCGACTGGGTGAACCCTTCGTTTTTAAACATGACATCGTTTCGTCTCATCGCTTGAATACCATTATTGCAACGGCTGTTATAACAACTTGAACATGATTCAATAATCTCGACAACGATTGGTCCTACCCAAAATTGGCAATATTTCCGGCGGACCTGTTTATCTTCGTCTTTGTCCTGCCCGTGAACTATTAACTGATATATCATACTATACGCCGAGTAACTAAGCAGCTGGTGGGCAAACGTCATCGCACACACCCCTCATCGCCGGTCAGGACATGTTCGTCCGCCGTGGATCGACAGCCTCCGAATACGGCAGTCATCGAGCGTCGGTCAGCTCCCGGTTCGACATTGTCCGGTGCGATTCAGCCGGCGAGCAGGCCCTGAGAGAGCAGCAGCAGCAACACCTACTCCATCAACAGTCGTTCAGCCATATTCCGCCACTGACCTTCGATGACACCGGCATGACAACCTCAAGCACCAATCGTAATGCTACAGGTGGAGGCGATGTGAACGTCGTGGGTAATGCACTGCTTAGTAACAGTTGTAGTGGCGCTAGTGCGAATGGGAAAGGTGAAAGCTCTGCGTCGGCTGGAGCACCGCGAAATGGTCCAGCTGCTTCTGCAGGAGGGGCAGCGGCCGACCCTCAAAAAACAGATGTTGGAAAAAAAGAATCTGGTGACGCTATGGAAGATGGCGACGAAGAATATTTTGGTGGGTGATAATCAGTTGTACTAACGAGCTTTGGCAAGCTTGCAATATTTGCTTATAATTGCTTATAATAATATATAAGCATGTTGCCGTAATGGTATTGGTTGAGAACACCTTTCGAAAGCTTCTGCAAAGGCTGAGATCGTTGACCAGCTTGATCTGAATAATTAAAGCTTAATATGAAACCGGTGGACTAGCATTGCATGGCGTACAGATAAAGGTTCTAGTTCTATTTAGAGGTTAAGGAGATTATAGCAATGTGTATACAAGCCTTTGCAGTAGCTAGTTCTTTTTAGTCACTTGATCACTGGCCAGAACGAAAAACGTAGAGAAGTAATGTCAGCTGATCATTTTTCATTGTCTCGAGCCGTCTATATTCCATCTTTTTCTGTCATTTCTTCCCGCCGATATATCATGAGAGCATTTCCGAGTCACTTTCTAGCATCCTGTTCCTGCAGAACGTTGTTTGTTCTTATATCCACTGATCATGATCAATGTTCATGTGTGTCAATCATTACCAGCTTGTATCTATGGTAGATCTTGTAAATATCCTCCTGGTCGTTCCCGTTGCAATGCATGCAATCCTAGTGTTACCGATAGGCTTTTCGGAATAGCGAGTGTTGTACCTTGTCGCTTCGTTCAAACTGCAGTACGAGCTGAATGCAAGAACGTGAACTAGCTTAATCACTCAAAAAATATACCAATATAATGGTACAGAACGTTCGTACATCATGAAATAAATCAAAATACGGGCGTTCACACAAGAGGTTACTAACCTGTTACTGACTATGTATAATGGATAATTTTTTTGGATCGTGCCTACTCCCTATAAATACAATCACTGCACTTTATTTTTTACACAGTGAGCCTGAATCAAACATGTTGCACTGCTGTATACGGCTTAAAGAAAAACGTCAACAAATATGTGGTAGATTTAATTTCGAATCGTAACATAATTTAAATCGGAATTTGTAGGCACGTGTGTAATTTGCGTGGTTTCAACGTAAATTCCACATTTGTAGTTCTGTGATCTAAGTATGAACGAATATATCAGATTTTTTTATCATAAAAGATAAGTGTAACAACAAAAGGATGCAGCCTAAGCTTGAATCATGGAACTTAGAATTTAAACCACTTGAATGTTTTTTTTTTATCATCCTGCGCTGTTAGATATAGACGCTATCTGTCGGAGTTAACTGTTGACATATCGCTTGTTCAACTGTGCAACCTGTCGGTAAAAAATTACAATGGGACGCTGACGAGAAATCCACATTGGGCTCCTGGGTCTATAAAGCCTGTATCCCTATTGGTGCTTCAGTTAGCGTAACAATTTTTGGTGTAATACTGTTTTCTAAAGAAGTTGAAGAGTCATTGTGATGACGATCTTACGAAAATCGAAAAATTATTAGAAGCTTTACGGAAGGTTCTACTTGGTGCATTTTTTCAAGTACTACGTTGGCCTTGTTTTGCAAATTTCATAGGCGCTCTGTTCAAAAGTTCTGTTTTGTGTCTTGTTTGAATGTACCTGCAACCATTCGGCTTATATGTATTCAACTTAGTAGAAATAAAAACTTGCGATTTAGTGGAAATGAGCGCGAATTTATCGAGGCGTAATAGTCATTCTCTGAGTAAATGATCGCTTCCGCCGAGTACTTTTGAATAATAAACTTTATCGACAGTTTCTATTGCCATAACGTGTCTTTGTTTAAAGTGACGGCAAGCCAAAAATATATTTAGGCCTGACGACAGATAGCTGAAAAGCAAATGACTCGGTAAAGCCGATCTCTCACAGCTCCGGCGTTTGTTAGATGTGTTAAATGCGTACTGCTCACACTTTGGCAGCAAAGCAAGCTCATTCGTACCCATCGTAGCTAACATAATGTTGGGGCCTGTTGCTTCGGGACCCGTATCGTTGCCAATGGCTGTGACGTGCCCGGGCTGGGTTGGAATCGGCTTGCATATTTGCAGGCGAATGTGGAGATCCAGATGGGCGTAGTGTGTTAGCAGGGGGATCACAGAAAGGATGGTGTCCGGAAGTGGCCGCTGTTCTGTGGCGTCGAATGCTCTGTTCTCTTGGCAATATAAACCAGATTGCGGATCCGCATATTCAATGCAAAATCATGGAACAATTGGCCGAGCTCAGCGAAACCTTGCTCAAGGTACAGATAGATAGAATGAAACGGTCCGAAGGCAGCTGGTCAGAGGAAATATTTTTGTCTGTGACCATAGTTTGAACTTTATATGATCCAGCTGCATTCGTTTTTAATTGACTCTTTCTATTCAGCAAAGCGTTCGTAGTTCAATTTCATGTAACATTGATCCAAACAAACCAAATATATCATAATAAATTTCAGCAATTAGGTCTTTCATACAGGGTTATATCTCTTCATCAATACATTGCATATGCTGAACATAGAAACGTTTCCACATTTGTCTCTACATTATTCGTTAAAGGTTCGAGAGAATCAGGGCGTGTGCGAAGACGGCTCCGTGACTTCAACGGCGCCAATGTTCATTCCTCCAGTGCATATTCTAACGCCATGGCTGTTTGAAGCCACGATGCTGGGCGACGAATACGAGCGCGGCCGCCTCGTGGCATATACGTTGCTCTGCGATCTCTCGCTACGCTCTCACGACGTACCGCTCAGTGCGGAGTACGTGACTAGGTAGGTTGTGAACTGTCGTGATGATAACGCCAGGCGTAACGACACATAAGGTGGCTTAATTAACTTTATGCTAGAAGTCAGCCATCCTAAGTAAGATGTCAATGATTGGACGTGAAACATCGTTGTGAAGTGCAAGTGGAGTTCATGTTTCATGGCTTCATACCAGGGGCATGTGTCTTTAGCCGACGACTCAGATTCAAATAAACTTTATTCATAAATCCTAGGGCCGCATTATCAATTTGAAGAGGTGGCCAAAAATCAATCGAATGTTGTTAAGATTTTAACGCTCGCAAGTAAATGAACCACGTGCAGATCCTACTGCTCATAAGCAATAACTGATAGGGATAGGACTGAAGAGTACTTTTATATATATAACACTGTGCGCTATCTTTTCGATAATTATTATTACAGCTACGTTGTTAAGGGCCGTTCGTTGTTATCCTTAGATTAGTCAGCAAGTAAACATGTATATGTATTTTTTGCCTACTGCTCAGACTGTACGATGTCCTGCATCGAGGCTTAACTGGCTCAAGTCCCTTGGTTCGCCAATGTCTCGTTCGGGCGGCAGGCACACGCTTTTTCGGAGCGCGTCTACCAGGTTTCTCACTGCTGGCTTGGGACTTCACTAGGGCAGCTGGCGGTATCCTTGAACAGCACACATTGAAAGGGGTACATACTAATACTGAGATTGAGTTTTGAGAAATGCTTATCTCTTTACCAGGTATTCTTTTATTGGCAATTCTTCTTTGCCACCCGTGTATGTTTGTCAACTACGTACGTCTACTGATTGATAAATTTGTGTATAGTTGTGAAAGTAAGTCAAGTGGTCATTTAAGGCGCGTTCTACACCTGTTCCATTACAGATACCTCGTTCCGAGGCTGTCCAGTGTCTTGGTTCACAGCTGTTTCTTGGGCAGCTGTATGGGCAGTTACAAGCACTTAACCCAGCAGAATCCGAGTCGCATCAGCTTCTGCCATTAACTGGTCTTGAAGAAGAAGTGATTTCCCGCTTAATGGCTGCCGCTAGTGGGGATCCAGATTGGCAGGCCAGGTAATACCGAGAAGACGGATTCAATTCAGCCTGTTATATAGAGCCGAGCATATATTTATAGATATGTCATTTAAGCTTTGTTATTTTACGAATACGTTGTCGTCGCTAGCTCAGTTCTAGTAGAAAGCAAACGAACTGAGAAGGTTTAGCTTACCTTTCGGTTTGAGCTTTTCGTTTTTCATACATGGAACGGAATCTCACCTAAAGGGCCTCCCACGATTCGCCGCCGTGAGAAGAGTCGAGCACGTAACATTTCGAATAACAAATTCAAAAATTTTATGAACGATCGACTCGATTACCGTTTTAGTATTGGTTTTTAGTTTGCATATAGTCGCTGGTCTATTCGCGTAAACCTGCACAACGAAGAAGTAACCTAAGACAATGTACTCGAAGAGCACAAGGTCTTGGGGACACACGGCCGGGGATCGCCGTTCCTTGACGTTTGTCGACAAAAAGAAACGAGCGCAAAAGGGAAAATGTGGTTCGTAGACTTAGCATTTTGCAAAAGTGGCTTTCGTGTTTTACGTCCGATATCTAAGCCGTGACGTTTTAGTTGAAGTACGAAGCGAGTGTCTCTAAGCCCAGATTCGAACCTGGGCCAGCGCACATCCCTAAGTCAAGTAGGCAAAGACTGCAATCACCGCTCTATCGCCGGGACAGATTTGTTATTCTATTTGCTGGAATTAGGTAGCGTTGATATATATATATATATATATATATATATATATATATATATATATATATATATATATATATAACATCCAAGGCTTCATATAGAACTCTCCGGAATCTCCTGCAATAGGACCATCAACGGATAGTAACTAACAGATTGATAGTGATTTGTTCTACATTTTTTTTTCAGATGTACGGCGTTATGTGCAGTATCAGTCTGGTGCTATCAACAGCTCTTGGAGTGTTCCTATCACGTGAAGCTTTTACCGGCGCTGACCGTTTTATTGCAGTCGCTTCAGGTACGATGGATAAATACAGCTCAGATGTGGTTAACTTGAGTTAGAGAGATGTCTATTAAAACGAAAAACTCTCTCAAGCTCTGTGGCGAGTTCGTGCCAAAAGCTTTTGAGCCACAAACGCATTGGTGAGCAAAATCTGTATTGCGTCTCTGTCGTTAGGAACGAATGTTTATTTTAGAATTGACTTGCTATTCAGATCTTTTCAAATAAAGGCAAATTTTTAACTTATTTTTACAGCCTGGCTCGGCATCTTCTTTTCATCAAAAGGGTGTTAAATTCTCTAAATGCAATCAATATACCGTTTGCCAAACGGCTGCAGAATGTCTTGCATTACTCGCCGAGTTTGCTCCCGTATTGCTCAGGTATGTAGAGTAACTATATAGCCTGAATACATTGAACGATCTCTCAAGTCTATGGAGCATCATGTTATCAGTGTTATTGTATTCATGTACACACAGTTTTTACAGCGGAAGCCCATGGGTTTGATAAATTTTGTTTGGGTCGGTTTTCGGGCGTTCCTTATGCTTCTATGAATGCTAAAAAATTAGTAAGACTACTCAAATTAGTAGCGATTTTAGACGTACTCAACAGAAACTTACGTAGTATGCTGATGCTGCACAGTTCATACGGGTGCCATATAACTATATAAACTTGTTTCTGTTTTCAGGGATCTGCCTGTGTTACTTGACCTTGTAGTGAAGATATTATCAGTTGTTCTCATCCAACTATATCCTTCAGCCAATGTTCACCAGGAAATTAATGAACGATTTGCCTGCGTAAGTAGATCTGTTTGCTTATTTATTTACAGTCGGTGTCAAAACAGATGCGTTTATTGAATCATTAACTAGTCCGTAGACGCCGCCGATAAATAAATTATATTCAATAATTGTATTCGTTTGTAGAACTTGCAAGTAGTTATGATGTATTTACAAAAATATCATTCAGTATTCAGCGTAGTGTCAGCATATACCTACATTTAGGCCACTGGTGACAAAGGTGAGGAAGTCCTCTTCTACTCCGTCTTTATAACACAATGCTAGTCATTCTTGACGCAAAAGATTTTTTCGCCTGATAGTTATTATAACCCAACACCATAGTCATGGTAAACAACCTCACTGTGAGTAACGCTTCGTTTGCCTGTTACCTATATGATCACCTCCGTTGGACTTACTCTCCCGTCCACATTCGCATTTGATTGCCGTCAAATGTGTTGTCTTGCAGCTGGTGACATCGCTTATGTTTTGTCTGGCTGAATGGATAATGGCTATTCCACTTGACGAGCTTACCCGAAGCGATGGCCTAGCGCCTACGAGTCTCCAGTGCGCGCTGACCGCCCTCGATGGGGTGGTAAAAGGAACCAGATCTGATGGCAGCGTCTGGAGCGGCGGCCAAATACCAACGTTGGCTGAACTCTTTGAAAAGCTGAAGCCGAAACGATCAGACAACAGCAGCGGAAGTGGTGGTCATAAGACTGGAACGAGTTCGGTAGGCCATCATATCCAGTCGCCACCAGAGACCCCTGGGGGCTTAAAGCCACGTCCGCCATTGAACACGTCATTCAGTGACCCAGCGCGTAATGCAACTTTGGTATCCAGCGATGGACGAACCCAATCAGGAGATGGTAACACGAACAAGGCCAACCCACACACGAATATTAAGTTAGCAGCAAAGGCGGTACGTGCGATAGTAATTTCTCTCTTCAAGATTCGAAATGTGGGAAGCGAGAAATCGTCTGGACGTTTTTTTCTTTATCCAATAATATTATCTGAGATGTGTCTGGCTAATCTTGGATTGTTGTACATGTAGAACGTAAGTGATTCTTCTATCTAGGGCTCTTTCAAACGATTGATATTGTCCATATTTCATTGCTGCGGTTGTATCCGATTGCAATCTACGACTACACCGTTGGTTTTGATGTTCGTTTGTGATGCAGATTCTGTGTCATTTGTTAAACAATGTTGGCCATTTCCCGATGAATTCGGTCTCATTGTCTAGTCTGTCAAGTTTGACGACTGAAAATGATGACGTAGCCTCGTGTCTCACGAGGTCTGGATCGGGGGGCGCCAGCACAATGAACTCCAGCCGCGTAGAAAATCAAGGAGAGCTCTCGAGATCTGCGTTTACCGCGCCCAACATTCAGTTCTTCACGCTTAATGATACGGCCATTGTTTCGCTTGTCGAGATTCCACCCAACGTGAGTCAACATCTTCTAGTAGCTATTTATTTTTGCTAGCCATTATATTCTGCAAAATTCCCTGTTTAATATAAGACTTATCATAAAATATTTTTTTTGGAATAAATATATTTGGCCGTATTTTTCGCAGCCATTGAAAACGTAACGTTTTTGCGGAATTTGTGATACAAACAATGTTAAGCTTATTTGCCTAAGTACGTGTTGTGCTTATCTAATATGGATCTGTTCAAATCCCCTAGGTTATCCACTAGATGAGACGCCAGCCCTTACATACATAATAAAAGGTTGATTGTTGGAACAAGCCAAGCTAACGACTATCTCATATCATTTCTTTTTTCGACAGGACAAGTCATCAGACGTGACAGAAGGTAAGGCCCGTACCCGTGTGATCGTGCGGGATCTTTGTGGAAAATTTTCTTGGGAGTGCGTTACACTTTATGGGCCTCTAGGATGTCGGGTTGGGTCGTTCCCGCCAGGACCATCACCTGACCCGTGCATGTACTATGCGGGAACTCGGACAAAGAACTATCAGCAGCAACAACTTTACGCCGCTGAACAACTTCGAATCTGTGGACAACGGCTGAGCGCGGGAGCGATCACCGGAGGAAACGAGTCTTCGCCGCAGCATGGCGCGTTGGTGCAATCAACAGATGCTGACTTGGGTATAGATGAAAAGACTTCGGTGCCTACTTGGCCCATCAATCTTTCGGATAGCAATAATTCTAACGGTTCTGGTAGACTTGTGATACAGGCGCGAGACAACGGTGCGCATCAATGGAACAATATAAAGGATAACCTTGACAAGGTAACTGAACCCGAATCTAGGCCACTCAATTATATATGGAGACAGACAAAAGGGTGGGCCTGAAAAACTTAATATCCGAATTTTCATCCGTTTTATAGAAAAAAAGAACGATTCAACAGCTGTCTTAATTGATGACTGGGCACAATGACATTTCAAACATTATTCTTAACGTATAATTTCTCTTATGGTGAAGTCCAAGTACCAGGTGATTTTTATATCTGTCTACCTTAATCCCCGTTTTTAAAATTAGCGATAGCAAAACTGGTGTTTATGCATATCACATTAGAGCCCAGAGATTCACAGCATATGAGCATCGACCGCCTTGTCGCTGACCTTTCTAGCTACTAATGTGTTTTTGGACAAAAATTTTTATGGTATTACCAAAGGGGGACAAAAAACCACGTATTTGACATCCATGGTTCAGAACAGGTTTCTTATGTAAACGATTAAAAAAAAATTAATTTAATTTCATTGGTGACATTCTCGATAAAGCGTTGGTTATCAGCTCTGCTTTTTCTAAGTGATAATTTTACGTGTCCACGTGCTACCACAGTATTTATTAGCCGATTTTAATTTATAATTGCAATCACGATTGTAGAGTTAACGTGTTGTTCCTGTGACATTTATATATTAATAAGCAATTGACACGCATGTACGTGCATTATTTTAGAAAAAAAATATGTTTGGCTAGGCAGACGCAGCCTGCGAATTAAGCCTGCGCACCTTAATGTAACTTCATGCTTTAACGATACCAATACGCTGTACTTATCTGTTTTTTTTTAGAGTTTGCCTTCCATTTCGAGTTGATCATTGTTTAAATGTTTTATTTTTTCGTTATCTACAAACAGGTCATTGGTTATATCGGAGTGAGCTCTCCCGAGTGCGCACTGCAGCAGCCGCTAAATACAGCTCCAAAAGCGCTTGGACAGCAGAGCAGTTTAGCGGAAGCCGACCAGATTAACGAGGTAAATATAATAACACCGTGTCCCATTTTGATATGGCCATTTAACCCAAAAGCAGTGTGGTCCTTTCACAAATTCGACCTTGAAGCGTTTGACTTTTAAAGTGAAAAACTATTGTCTCAGTATGTAAGATATTCTTGTTACTCGCAATAATTGTCCCTAATGCATTTGTCGCAGGTGCTTAGTTACGCAGAAGCGGAACAGGCCGAAGTAGCGGCTCTTCGATGGAGTCCACGTCAACGATCGGTTCCATTGATGCCGCCTGGCGATCTTCACGACTCTTCGGAGGGTCCGGCAGGATCTTCGCCGCCGCATCATCAAGATCACAGCAACGGATTGAGCCACCCGCACGGCGCCGCCGCGGGGGGAGGTTCGGCCATTGGTCAACCACACACCTCGCTGGCCCCCTTCCAGTATTCTAGGTTAGCCTGAGAAGGGGAAACCAGTCACAAATAGCATAGCAAAACATAGTCGACTGTCATTAAGGGACTGAACAAATTGTACTTCTGCCTTTCCAGACTGCTCCTGGACCAGCTGAACTTTCTCTCATGGGAGAGGAGGTCGTCGATTGCGTTGCTGCAGAAAAATGATAAACTTTTACGAGAACTTCGTTACCTCGACCAGCAGCGGTCACGAGAAACACACAAGATTGCCGTAATTTACGTGCAGGTAAGGCTTGACTTGTTTCTTGATATCAAGAAAGTAGATTGTTCACTATACTAAATGATTTAGTCATCACTTATAGATGCGTCTTCACATGCTTGCGAATAAGATAACTAAAACTGATCTATCAATCGATTCGAGGTGAGAAAAAGTTAACTGGTGAAATTTCTTGTATACTCATTTAACTCCTACCTAATATTGGCATCGATAATTATAAAAACAAAATATCAAATGAGTAATATTTCCGTAAAATGGAAAAGCTCACAATTCTACTGGCAGGTGATCCGACCGCAAAAAAAACATTTTCAAGTTTGCTTTTTTGTCCTAGACGTATTTTTTGTGCCAAATTTCAGGCAGGTCAAGAAGACAAGAACTCAATCCTGATGAATCAGTGCGGCAGTCCCGAGTTCGAGGCATTCGTTTCAGGTCTCGGTTGGGATGTTGATTTGAGAAGTCACTCGGGATATAGAGGTGGACTTGATGCACACGGAAGCACCGGTCTCACTGCACCATATTATGCTGGTACGTATTCTACAAACAGTGACAACAACCATATTTTTTATGGTAGCTCCACGAGTAATTCAATATGAAGGCTCAATAGGAAGTTAATGATTCTGACAAGTAGACCTGTTAAACACTTAATCAGAGATGATTTGGCTAAATGCGTTATAGTTATAACGTGATAAGCTTCATTGTCTGCTAATTTCAGATTCGTTCGTTGAGGTCTTATATCATGTAAGCACACGAATCCCTGCCCACGAAAAGGACGCCATGACGAAAAAACTTCGACATCTTGGAAATGATGAGGTTCGTATAAGATGTGTAATGTCGTGCTATACCTAAGTTGAAGCTAAAATTCGCTCGAGTCTTTTTTAAGACAGAAATACATCATTTTCCTAGTGAAAAGTGTAGTTCACTATGTGACATTTAAGTCTACTTCAATATCGAATCAAACGTCAGCTTTGAGCGAAGCTGCGTCCTTCGCGAATTCTGATTAACGGTATTTCTGCATTACAGGTTCACGTCGTGTGGAGTGAGCACGCTAGAGAATACAGACGTGGCATAATTGCGACAGAATTTGGTGATGTTTTTATTGTACTCTACCCATTGCCCGATGGCCTCTGTCGGGTGCAAATTAACGCTAAGCATGACGTAAGTGTTTGTCATCTCTGAAGATTGACTTACAGAATTATATTGCAGAATAATAGAGACAGCGTACCGTTTAAAAATTAACTTTCAATAAAAAGCTACAACCTCAGAAAGGTAGAAAGGCTACAAGATGGTTTACCGTCCTCTGTTCTTGTCTTATGCATAAACAACGACTTTTCTGTAGTCGTAACTTTCGAAGTCAACCAACTTATGTATAATGTATGTTCTTACACAGGTACCATTCTTTGGACCCCTTTTCGATGGGTCTATTGTTGATCAGCGCGTGCTGCCCGCGCTGGTTCGTGCGACTGCTATAAACGCAGATCGTGCTGTGAATTCACTGAAACTCATGTTTCGCAGGTACATTTATACGGAATCATGCCCAATTGATATTACAACGATTCTGGAAAAGATATAACGAGCCTATAGGGTTAAACGATGATGTGATTGTGTTTTTTTTTTTCATTTATAGGCACACATCTAATGAGAGCATCTCACTTACGTTATTGTAATTTTGTAATCGTTCCGGCGTTGCTTTCCGAATAGCTAATGCCTCAGTGTGGGCGATTTATGCGATTTCAGCTTCTACGAAGTCCGCTCTACGTTGATCGAAAACATTTGCTCGAACTTCAAAGAGCCTGCCACGTTTGAAGAGTTCGCTTGCAAGGTAAGTTGGTCGAGTTGAAAAACGTTACAGATCACCAGTTCTGTTCAATGAATATATGTGTTTTTACTAAATACGAAGTCGTATCGGAGGGCTTGACACGAGCCAGCAAATCTGTAAACGTGTCGGACGTTTACGGACTAAGCGGACTCGATCTCTCCGACGTTTATAATCTGGTTGATCCATATTCTATTATGAATATATTTAATTTTCTAGGTATTTCAGCCAGGAAGTCCCCGTGGCGCATCCGCCAGCGTAACAGCGTCCGGGCTAAGCGGTTCCTCTAGTTACACCTCCTACCAGGCTTCTTCTCAGCATATGTCTAGCGGTTCAGTCACTCATGGACCTGCGATAAACATAAAGAGTGCGTTAATCTTATAATATAAAATGCAGAAACAGCCATTTGTATATAATGCCAATTGCTCAATGTTGAGGTCAGTGCCTTAGGTAGAAGAAAAGGCCATACTAACATTAGCTTGTAGCTATCGGTGCCAGGCAGACATAAAGTAGCTGAGTAGACAAATTGTCACACGTAGCGCATTGGTGCGGATGTACCAGTTTGCTAATCTCTACTAATGCACATATACGAATAGCAATTTCACTCCATGTTACATGTATACACACTTTTCCAGGCGGTGCTTCATCGGAGATAGCAGCCGACCAATCGCCGGCGATCTCCTCAACTTCAACGAACAGCGGCGGGCTCCATCACCATAGCGGGATCGATTCGAATATCTCGGCTATGGCTAATTCTACAAGCGGTACATCAAGCGCGGCCGCTGTAACAGGTTCTGCTGGGGGGGCAGGGGCAAGTCATCAAGGAAGTGCCATGACTTCTGGCTCACCACCCTCACCACAGGCGCCCCCACGAGCGCATCGTATCGATAGTAACCATCACATAGTGCCGTCAACTTGGTCACAAGACCGGGGCTGAACATCCGAACAGTCTAAATAGATGCCTAGTTAAAGCTGGACGACCGACTCAGGTGCGGGCGTCAGAGGCGAGCGAGAAACAACAGCTAGAGGACGCGGCATTTGCTATCCGGTAACGGTGACGAACTGCGTTAAAACATTATCCAAATAGCTCTTAAAAATAGCAGAATATAGCAAGTATGGTTTCTCTCGTGGAAGCTTTGCGAGAACCTGTCTAAAGATAGTGTCGGATACGGCATTATAATCGCCATGAAACAAAAAAGCCTAGCGTAAAGGCCACCATAAAACAGTTAACGGCAGAAAAATCTGTCTGTAAGGTGCGTGCGTGTATCTCACAAATTTCCAGAACAACAACAAGACAGCCAAGGAAAAATGGATAAACGGGAAGGAAAACAAACATAAAAGGAGAAGCGATGGTTATAAGGTGTACTGACGTGAAAAGTTGGCGGCGGAAAATTACTCGAATCTTTTCATTCGGTAGAGCTAATTCGTACTAACAGTAGAATGAACGCAATAGCCCAGGAGTAAAGTTCACTCATCGTTCAATAATCTCCTAAGCAGAACTTCCTCAATACAGAAATCAACATCGAACATTTTACCTGAAAAAAACTAAAACTCGTTGTAATTCAGACGCCGTACCAGGAAATCAAGGAAGTATGTTAGCCAAGCTTTATTTTGATTATTACTATTTATTATTATACTTACGAGAACTCAATTGTGCAAACCAGTTACCTCTGACTCCGATTAAAACCATCGTCAACCCTCACGCTTTGTTTCAAGTTCTCAGCTTCTTCCCCAGGCAGTCACAATTAAGAGAGAGACATTTGCTCACTCGCAAAATTAGCCACACTCAAAGCCCGGTGGGGCTTTACTGGGTGAAGAAAAATAAGTGGCTGAATTCACTGCATTACAATCCGTGCATAGAAAGTACGTCAACGATTCGTCACACCGAATATACGTCGATATGTGAACGAAATATTCTCACTGAACGCTAACGTACATCCACGCGATACGCAAAGTCCAACCCCAACGGCGCCGGCTATTTACTGCAGTTTGATTGATGCTCTTGCAGAAGACACCCCCTACCAAGCAAGAGAAGAAGCTGGAACAATTATGACAATGGAGCAAATTCAGAAACGAATCAGTCGCTTAGATGAATTCCCTTCAATCTGCAGCAGTTATCACGAATCACGACCACAACCACAACGTATTTTTGCAGCGAAAGAATATTTCCAGTTACACTACCTATACCTTATGTAATAATAACTCCACCCGATAACATCATACAAGATAACCACAAGGTTTTATTAGATGATCAGGCAGCAGGACAACAAACTGATGATTGATAACTAAATCTAGAACTGTTCACACCACCGCGCTATTTTAAGACGGAACGTTTTGTGGGGTTTCCTTCTTGGAACTTCTCGCAAAGAAGTTAACCTGATGATTCGAACCATTATTACCTGTTGTACACACATATAGTGCAGACATAATACGGCGTGCAGGTGTAAATTCATGTAAAGTATACGTGACAGGATATGAAACGGGAACATGCTGGGATCTGTAGGACCGATTGTTACAGAATTTTAGTGAATTTAGAGAAGTGTGCCAGTTCAATATGAATCTAATATATATTATATAAATAGTAGCACCGTGAAAATGTGTGGCTATGTCTCTTGGGTTAAATGTCTACCTTCTAATGTTTGCGTAAGTGGATCATCATCATCATTTTAATATCGTAATTTGTTCATAACAAAAAAAAAAACGAATCGTAACTATCAATTATAAGAGTAATATTTCTCATGTTTCTTAATATAATGAAGAGTTTATCCGCTAAAGGTGTTTATGCACGTATATCGATGGTCAGTCTAACAAAAATAAAAGAGAGAGTTTAATAAAGGGAAAAATAACTTACATACGGTATCCTATGGTATTTTTTTCTATCCAAAGTGTCTTAGTTGTCGCTGATTCGTCCTGCAATCGACGTATGCCATTATCTAATACGTGTAATTAATTAAACATTTGTAGGTATTAACATTTCATAATGTAAACTTGGTGCAAATATTATCTATTAACGGCAAAATAAGTTTTTGCCTCTAACGACGCACTTCGAGGAACAAATATCCGTAGAATGTATCTTTTCGAATAAGATACTTGCGATCTCATATATAGCCAGTGGAAACAGCAGATGATGTTTGCCGTCAAAGAGTTTCGTTGGTTTTCAGCGAAACGAAATATGCCTTCAGCAAGATTCCTCAATGGCTACCTTATACTCCTCTACGAATAGTTCTCATTCGTGGCTAAGTATGTGTGTAGCCACGAATTCAACGAGATACGCGCAAGGGACGGGTAGTACGCGAAACGGTAGTACCAGATGATGAATGTACCATTTATTGCTAGTAATAACTGACAACATATAGCGTCAACATGCTTACCTAGTCATTTCGCGCGCAATAAGAGGATATGAGATACGTAAATACTGTTTTCAGGCAGAGAAGACCTGTAAATTTTGCCTGAAGGGAAGATGCTAGAATCGTCTATTCCAGTAAGAACCGCATCAAAACTATTGGCCCAGACTTGAAATTGGACCAAGAGCTAGACCCACTATGTTTCAAAGACTGTATATGCCTAGGAGAATTTATACTACATATACATAGAGATTTATACTACACTACTCGTTAATGTTGCTACCAATTGATAAACTTAAATGCAGAACAGCCATTTCATTCATCTGTAATAATATACAAGCAAGCCTCGTACTTTTTTCAAAACACACTCGTTTAACTGTAATATCCGCCGTTGGTAGTATAACTATAAGAGGGGTTTTCCTATCCTATTGCACTCTTACCTTATGTGCTTCAAGTGTTAATATCTAGTATATAATAGAGGAATCGGTAACAGTAGCAGCAGCAACACCAACACCAAAACCAATTGGTTACTCTTGAGGAAGATCATATCAAATAAATAGAATTTTCATATTTAGATCAATGTAAATGGTTGCAATCCCCTTTAACTATCCTGTGTTCGGAGCCTCTGTGTCGATATATAACCGGTCCTCTGCTCCCCTTGAGTGAGTTAAATCTGGCGAAAAGATATACAATGATACAATATATGAAATTCCCATTCTGATTAGGGTCGATTCACTATACGCCCTGCCTCTTGATCAAATTTATTCTGCTAGGAAAAAAACCTGTTTTGTTATAGAAAATGAGGAGAGGAGTTAATTATGAATGGTAAATACGACTCATAATTGCAGGCTCAGCGTATTCCAGATGGTTCACTGTTTCTGTTTGTCTGGGGGCAACGAAAATCGCCTAGGGTTAAGGGTTTTGCAAAACGAAATTTTACAGCTACCAGGGAACTTTTCAAATGGCCGAAATTAAACGGACAGATTTCTCAAGTACCGCTATAAAATTGTAATACAAATTGCAACTGTTTCTCGTCGTAAAAATTCTTTATTATTTTTATTGGGTTATTATTTTTATAGGAGGATTTCTTTAAATGTACACACTGTTTATTAACTACGTTGTTTTTATTAAATGGACTCAATTTAACATTTAGAAAATCGTCTTATCCTCCAAAAATATATTCCTCGTTTAAACATGGCAGCTATTGACGCAACGCAATTACACAATAGTTTACGTATGGGATGTTTGTAGTGAGGTATGTTCTTCGAGTCTTCTTAACGAGCTTTACGTACTTCCGTGAAGTCGTACGATAGTACAATGATTAATGAGATAATAATCTTACTTTTCTTAGCTACCGAATTCCTGCTGTCAGGACGCTTCGCAATAACGACGCTATACTACGTTATCTATAACATTGCGATGGGTTAGTTAGCTGCGGCGGGGCAAAGCTTGCTTACTGTTCTTAGCACCGTATTTTATAAGATGAAAATAAATAGAAAATCACTGACGAAGATGAATCTATAGCGTCACAACTATATTATACATATATATATATATCTTACAGATATTATTGCTCAAAAGCGGCAATGTATTTTATTGGTGTTACAGTGGAGTTCTTCTATCACCTACGTTCTAACATAATAACTATTATTCAGTGTATATGGTTATTTTATGTACGACAATGCCATTCGGCAAGGTGTTGATAGGAACACAAAGAGCCGACGGAAACGACCTGAAACGTCCTACACGATAGCTGTGTGCTCCTAAAATGAGGTCGTAGTCAATTTTTGTCCATGGAAAAAAAAACAGTATAACGTATATTTGTGTTATAGGAACAATTCGTTTCTTCACTTCCGTCCCGTAGTCCGTAGAATGGCTTGACGATTTAAAACACTAGAATAGCACGAAGCGCGAGTATTTGCATGTTTGTTACCGCCAACACAAACTATCTGATCTTGCTATACTCTATCGATCTACTGATGCTAGAACACAGACATACATAATCAGAAGATTGGCTCAGACGCAACTCCCACTTAAAATAATTGTTTCTGAAAGAGGTTGTTATGATGGGTTATTCATTTCTATTCGGGTTTACTTTATCTCGTGTAGCAACACAGGTAAATATAACTTCTCGGATACTGGCAACTTCGATTAGGTTGTTTTCATACAAGTCTAGCTAGCTTTTTACTAGCCCCTACCGCCGCCCTTACCATAGGTAGAATATTCAATCTATATTATTATGATTATATAGTTATTAAGCATTGTCTGTGCATAGCGGGCTTAGGTGCTGCCCTTTCGCGTACGCTCTTCAGGCTACCCTTATGAATGAAATCTCTCTGGCATTGGCAAAAGGAAGGCCATAAATATAATGACAATAATAAATGATAAATTATAGTACTACTATATTTAGAATTACTCATAATAACTGAGCCAGAAATTGAATGGAATTACGATCACAAAAGCGGACAAAGAAAATTAAATCGTAACAACTAAAGCTGCTCGTTGTTTATTTGCTAATAAAATTATTTGAAATTATTTCCTCGTAACATTTCGACGGTAAGGGTTTGCTGTCCCATTAAAACTTGCTAAATTCATCCTAACATTATGGTTGTGTCCTGTTATTTGTATTCTCAGTTGAGCAGGCGCACTCCAGCCCTTCGTAGAATATAATACTATACAAATTGCGTCCCATTATGCTCTTTGGGAGAGTCATAGCACTTCTGTACACGTGTTTACACACGTACTTGCTCGAAAACACCGGAATTACGCTACCGCGTGCATTTCGGTTAATGCAGCTTTTTTTTTTTCACCAAACTAACTTGTTTGCGCAAAATCAATCTAGAAAATAACAAAAATCTCTATTATACTATACTAGGATGTCTTCGTTAGGCTTTCTATTTGAAATAATAATAATAATATAATAATAATAATAATAATAATATTTCTACATGGTATTCCCTTATATAGTTCCATCCCGCCAAACGTCAAGTCAGTGACACTAGGCAAGTCAGGGCTGTCTGCTTTGTTATTCACACAGCTACGATCTCTTCTTCCTTTGGTACCTGAGGGATGTCCGATTTCGAGTTCATCAACATCGTGGTTGCTCTATCGGCATTTCGGTTTCGCTTCATAAGGACTCGGGCCTTTGGTTATGATCTTCGCAACGTCAGATCGTCCCTGCAGTCAACAGCAGTAACGAAGAGACTGCTCCAAGCCATGCCGACGGCGCCAGAGGCGAGGCATAACATTTCAGGCTCTGCTGGTAAGCTGTTTCGTCCGAATCGATCGCGTTAACCAGATCCAGTTCCTCGACGGGTCGACATTCTTCCGGAGAGCAAAGCTCTTCACAGGCCGGACATACGATGTGTGACGTGTGTAGCCATGCATCTTCATCGACAATTCGAACATAGGACTTCTGCCCATTGTAGAGACAACGAATGGACGCATTTGAGCTTAGAATTATCTCAAGTAGGCCATCATGACAACGATACTGAAACAAGACGCCAGTTAATTAAAATTCACTTTTATCAAAATAACAGCCTTGCCGAATGCATCGTAAAAAGACGACGCGATATTAAAAGCAGTATAGTAGCAGGATTAGCTGTTCGATATGTATACCGTTTTACGTAAAATATCATTATTGTCTACCATATTTGCTATTTTTCAAACATACGTACTATCATCTGTATAATGAGAAGACTAGAACTGGTTGGACTAACATTACAAAAATAGAGGCTCGCATAACGCGCCCAAAACTCTGAAAAATGATTTGGGTCATAAAAGGAAGACAGAGAAGAAAGACACACTGAGTAATACTTAGTAATACTTGATGGAACATCTCATCCGCAAACACCTCCAGAAGTATAATTGCACACCCTTTCATTTTCTAAAGTGGCGCTCCAACGGAACAAGATAATACATAGGAGTTTGAATAGAACCAGCTGTTTATAGAGACGGATGTATATTTTTTGAACCCTTAATAACAAGGGATCTGAAAAAATAAATATGAGTGAAAACTGGATTAGGTTACCGCTCGGGTCACTCAAGCCGAGCTCAAGCAGTTTACTATGCCTTGGTATATGGGATCGCGGCAGAGTGACATGGCAGATAATACTGTGTCAGGGTTAGAAGGCGCAGGGAAAAGTCATAGTCCCGAGCATGGAACTGGTTCGTCTGAGGAGACGGCAAAGCGGACCAGGCTGATCCCGGCCTGATAGTCCCGAGGCACCACTCATTCCTGTCTTTCAGTCTGTAGCACTGTTGAATGAAGATTTCGTCCGATTCGTAGTGAAACGTCAAAAAGGTATTAAGATTTAAGGAATGAGTCCAGCCGGCAGGGCTGAGTCCCATACTCGGTCCTCGTATGATAGATATTATATCCGGGTGATGCTGGTCGTACGTGAATTTTTTTAAATTTAATCCTCTAAAAAAAATCAGCGAGAACGCTGGGTAGCGGGAGCAATGGTATAATCCGGCTAAGCAGATGCACGTAAGCCCTAGTTCAAAGTTTTCGTCAGGGTTGTTTAAAGGTTGGTCAAATACGAAAATGTATGCAGCCGAGATACACGTAGGAGTTGTACTCATTTTAAAACAGGTCATTTGTTCTAAAACAGTATCCTGTATGCACTGGCATAGAGTAACGATTTGTGCCTTTAGAAATGTGTGAATCAGTAAATTTCATAGGTGTATGACATTCTGTCGTAACTGAGTATAAAGCAGTGCGTATTTTCCGTTTACCTGTCAGTGTGATGAGTTTCGCTTAAAGGAGAATGTTTTCTGTTAAGCCTTCGCGTTGGATGGAAGCGGCTTTATGCCTTTTCCGGGGCAGTTTTAAAGTTCAGTTTCATCTAAGCCAGTATAAAGCTCCGTACGATGTTAACATCAAATAAAAAGAAAAGACTAGAAGACAGACTATTGAAATAATTTTTTGGGCCACTCGAGTCCGTTACTTGGTAATATAACGTTGTTGATAGAATACGTGACCATCTGGCACGAGCGTATCCGTTAGATGGATCAAGGAAAAATAGACTTCTTCTAATTAATCATCCTGTAGGCACGTATCACGCACTGATACACTTTTACAAACAACAAACTATAAGGCTTCTAATTACTGCCCCTGTTAAGTTACTGCTCAGCAAAAAGACCTACTGGTTTGCCGCGTTCTTTTAGCCATTCCTCCACCTTTCCCGCGAGCAAAGCTTCTGCCTTTGTCTATTAGCGGCCGGTCGCTTTTATACCTTATTCTGGACGTATTAAACTTGGACGGATCAAGCCTGTTTTCCTTGCCACTACAGTGCTTTATGCTGTACCTATTTTTACTGTCGTTACTGCTAAACATAATGATAATCATCCATCGTTACGCTGGCCTGTACCCTATACATTCTTATCTTCATTGTTTCCTTTCTGTTCTTTACTTACCTGATAACATGCAGAGCCCCAACTTTGCCAGTGTCGGACTTGCTCACATGTCGATTCTTTCCAGCGTCCGGTGTCGAAGCAAGCTGAATGTTGGCCATATCGTTCGAGGGCAAAATTTTTACCCCTATCTGGCTGATTAGTCTCATACGAACAATCGCTGTTCCGACCCGAATTCTGCCAAGTGAACTCCTGTAATGGGCAAATTATCGTTCTGTCGTACAGGTAGAGTCCAAAACCCCTGTGGCAAACAATTTGACCTTGTCTATTTCTAAAGCACTGACACGCTTGTCCAAAGGTTTCTTGCTAATGCGGACCATAGACAAAACCGTTTCGTCCTTACTTCGCATATAATATGTACGCAAATTTTCTTGCGCATAGAAATTTCTAAATGAGGTACGTCAAGGTAAGTTAACGGAATGAAATTACCCTAAGTTATGAGAATCAACATAGAAGCTTCAGTTTTTACAAAGTCTTCGGACTAAAGTTTCACTTAGATTAAAAGAAAGCGAAGGACAGCTTTTAGTAGAAAGGCAACAGGGAAGTTGGAGACGAACGAATTCGCCCAAACTTTTACTTCCACACCGACACATTTGCGAAAGTTGAACGTGTTATCCTTCTACTATTAGGGTAGCACAATGTTCAACAGTACCAGCAGCTATAATTGAGAGTGTCTGTTAGTTGACATCCATATATAAAAAAAAAAAATTAGCTAATTCAAGGCCCTCAATAGAAAAAAGACAACTATGATGTGTGTGTATTTTTTTTGTTTTGCATTTAAGCACAAAACATTCGCCAGCCAAAAACAACTCTTAACTTAACTACGAATCTACAAAGGATCACTTGCCTGAACAAAAGGGCAATAATCAGCAAGTGCGACGGAACCACCAAAACTTGCCGCGTAGTCGCCACCGATTCCATCGATCTGCTCAAAAAATCGATATTCTTTCGGAAGAGGCTGTAAATACAGAATCAATAAACATTGAAACGAAAAATTCATGAATGGCACTAAAAGCTGCGGGAGTATGATTAAGCTTAAATTGTGGACTTTGCTTATTCGAGGGATAAGCTTTCCGAGGAAGGCTAGGTTCGATTTTCGCAACCAGTTAGATTGACGAGGCAAAAAAGCGCTGTCGGAATTACATTTCGAAACCTCGATCATGCCGGACAACAACAAAACTTTGCTAAGTGCTAGTATATTTTTAATAGCGACATCCTCAAAAGGCTTTTTAGACGTTCTCTAAGCATCTTCATTTTATCTAGGTGGATCCGATTTCTGCCCATGTGCGGACCCGAAGCAAAGACCAACCTTTGTCAAGTAATGAACGAGATTACAGAGCGCGACAGCGCTTCGGGTAGCTGTACATGTTGTACGTAGTGGATTTCTTTTAACAGAATCACAATAGGGCGCAGGGCTTTGGCCCTGCAAACGGCGCAATCTCATCCACTCGTAACAGGACATGTTGGTAAAATTGCAGCCAAGATTCCGACCCCATTGAAGCGGATCATAACCGGAAGACGCCCAATACCTGTAAAAACACCAATAACAAAAAATGTGGTCATTTACTTTATTCCGATTTTCACTTTCTCTTTCTCATTAAAATGTCCTCTTTTTTTGAACCTGAACCGCTGTCCGAATTTACTTTATGTGTGAAGTTTTATGGCCTTATAATAAAAAGACAGCAGGATAGAGTATGGGCACTCATAAAAAAATAGCAGACGTTACCAGCTCTTGTGAAGTGACATTGAATTCTGTTTGAGGTGGTGATTTTCAAGCGTTTGAAGGCTAGTGCTAGGTTCATTGTCGTCTCTAGGAAATCTATCGCAGAGCGTGATGAAACAGTTAATGTATTGATTTACATACTTTCCGCTTGTACACAGTATTGTTCTGTGATGTGCAAAAATTAGTGATAATCTCTGAACTATACCATCCGGTGTCTTCCATCAATGCAAAGGTTATGCGTGAATAGGCCGGGTTCTGTGTGTTGGTGCCAGTCATAGCTTCATTTTCAAACAATCGCTTTTCCCAGTGCGTCAAACGTGTTCCATCGTCCCCCTGGTCTTCAAGTTCAGCGCCTGAAAAATACAACGTCAAACGGTGGGACACTTGTTCTTACAGAGGCGTGGCTGCCCGCTAATTTTAAGGAGACGTAGTGGTCTAAATTCGGTCCCGGTCGTAGAAACATTTCGTGTCGTGCTTGGGACTAGCTAGGCCTGACAGCTCAAGTACCGGACATCAAACACGGAAAACAAAAAAGTAAGCTTCAAATAAAAACTATTTCTCCTCCTAGTTTTTTTTTTTTCGCAGAGACTCATCAATCTTAGGAAAGCACCAGCCTTCATATAATTTGTAACTTAAACGTTTTATCTAGATGCCTACATAATACTGGTTTCTAAGCTGCCTGCTTGTCACTTACTCCTGGCAGCTTAGCAGATATCTTCCTTTAGCTTTAACTGCAGATACGTACACTAAAAACAGTAAAACTCTAATTTTATACTTTATGAAAAGATAAGGCTATTTTCCTGTCAGATCCACGTTCTTTTCATATTTTTATCCTTGTCTTATAAGCAACGGCATGTTAGTAAGGAGTTACACCGGATCTGTGGTATTTGGACGATGGCATTCATATGTCATCGAGAATTACGACTCTGACATTGACACTTTGTTAACTTTGGCAGCCCCTCTGGCATTAGTTGGACACTCTCACTGAATGCAGCTGACTGTTGCATGCTGTAGTTGATAAGTTCGACCAAACACGGCTCCCCTTCAACTATTTTTGAACTTAATTGAAACTTATGTTTAGCCACAGGTAGCAAACTTTTCAGAGTAACTTCTATCAAGTGGTGCCGTTCGACTGGGTGCTCGTGTAAAATGGCTGAACTGGTTAGTTCCTTTGGAAAGGAGTGTTGAAGCGGTGTCGGATGTTTACAGATCTCCATATTTCTAGTCACTCGAATGTCTCGAACAACTTCGTATACGAATTCTGGCGTGAGGAAATAAGTACAGTACGTGTACATGTAAGATCAGAAAAATATTACTATGTTTTCCTAGTTGTTAGGACCAGACAAATATTTGGTTTTGCTACCTGTTACAAGGAACGATCAAGAATAGATGAAAAAAGGGGAACCCCTCTGGCTCGGATAATTATCGTTGGCCTACACGTTGTCTTTTCTTCGTACTTACCTATGAGATCAGAGCAACGGAAGTGCTCTCTAACTGCTTGTTGCACCCGTGGGGTAACGACGTAGTAGCGTTTCTTTGTTAAGAGACCAGCTGTTGTCAACCAGGGCATGTCAACGCTACGCACAATTCGATCATTCCATCGGTGAACCATTAACCTATTATTCAGCAATTGTAAAAAACGTACGCATCTATTTTATATTGTGTGATAGTGCTACCTATCAGGTTTTGACGTTGATGTATGGTACGCAATTCCGGGCAATTTCGACCGAGGATTCGGCACGAGTAGTCAGACGTTTTTTTTAACAATTTACCACATTTTATTTACAAACGAAGACTACAGAACTGAATTCAGCATTCGTTAATGCAGCACCATATGAATGGCACCACGACAACCCTTCGCACTAATCTTTACCACTCTATGCGCAAAAGCTCTTTAGCCGTACCAAACCAAGCGTAATTCCGTTATGAAACATGTTGTGATTTTGTCCTAAGATCGGGTTCTGCCCGACTTAACTAATTTTTTGTCCAATTTCCTTTGCCAGATAACTATACATGCAACCTACACGAATACAAGCTGACCTTGTACCATGTAACCTTCGGCGTCGTAGAACTGTGGCACCTTTATTCAATTGTTTCCAGCCCACTTGAGTGTTTCGTTTTAATTAATCTCATCGGTGTAATAGTGAGTGTACAAAACACCCCGATAGATGTAGAGCAACAGATAACTACGGCGTCTCTGCAGGGTTGAGTTACCGACGCGTTTTGGTGGATCTGCTTGGAGAACACCAGATTTAGCCAAATCCTTCAGAAACAGGCATGGCCTTCTTTTATCGTCCACAGATGCGAACTAAAAACGATCGGTCTCATTGTTGAATCAACAAACAGATCAGATTTTGGGCTAAGCTGAGCCCTCTGAGCGCCGATATCTTCATAGGCACTGCCTGTATTGATGTAGGCAGCCATTCCAAGCGGGCTTTTGTACATGAGGGCGTACCTGTTGAACTTCACTTCCCACACATACAGCTTGGTCAAAATTAAATTGGTAAAGTACTTTCGTATAGGTTGCATTATAGGAAAAAACAAGCGATATGTTACATCAGACCAGACTCTACGCACTGAATACGAATTGGCTTCAACTGCATACTTTCCTCTTGATTTGTAAGGCAATATATTTGATGCTTGGTGCATAGAACTGCGTGTTTTTGCAAGCTAAGCTTGGAGAGCCTTTCTACTAGATTGCATATATTGTGTCCGATGATTTTGTGAGCGATTAACAATTAAGAGAGGAAAACTGTGGGTCATCTGGTTTTGTTGTACATTTTTTGCTATAAACACTACTATTTTGCCGTCAATTAGTACAGCAACATCTATGACAGGTACATAGAAAGTTGTTGTTACTATTATTTTGTTAGAAAGAGTGTCAAGATCAATTTGTTGCTGTTAAACTTACTCCTCGTCAATATCCGGCCGTCCGGTAGCCGTAATTCGTTCACTGAGTGGTTTGCCGTCATCATCTCGAAAGAACGCGAACAAGCTTACGGAAAAGCCCAACGCATGAAGCACCTGGAAAGCAACCCAACAATTACTGGAATAACCAAACGTGGATCAAGATGGACGTGGTTCCTTGATGACATGGCCAAAAATGATTTCAGTTATCGATGCTGTGTACCGCTTTATTTCGCATTAACTATGAAACGCAAATGAAACATGGACGCGTTCAAATTCTAGTTACAATGTGAAAAGAGGCCAAAATGGAAGCTGAATGAACAGTACATTTCGATAGAAGTAAAATCAGGAACTATGAGAATACCTGCCACTTCTGCAACCTTACCGCAGGAAAAAGTCCCAATAAGAAAAGTAGGCTCGAATCGCTGTACGGATGTATTTATAGTAATTTATAGAATGGGCAACAGCAGTACGCAGGACAAACAACTATTAGAGAAACATTGAAATATTACACTTGAACACAGTATGCAACGCGGGAATCCCGATCTGTCGAAATGAGGAAACTTACCTCGTGTTTTACAGTAGATAAAAGCGTACGAATATGCTGTTCGTCAGGAAGTAGCGTTGAAGGACAGAGGTTAGCGTGTCCGGCAATCGGACGGTCGAAGTCCGTTTCCTGCTGACAGTGAACTGCGTATGCGATTGTTTCCCCCTGAAAACAAAATAGTTAAACATTTTAATTACTAGAATCGGTCATGGCAAACTAGTAACTAATATATTCAAGGAAAGTAAGTTAAAGACCGATTCAAGAGGAACTTATTGGGTAGCTAAATGCTACATAAGTAGAATTTTTCAATTAATAAGTAATGGATACCATGGTTAGCTGGTGCCAAAAATAATCTGTAAATTAAAATATTAAATTAGAACAAAAGAAGTGTTTTGTTGCTTTTGTTGTTGACTGATAAGAGAGACGCCAAAGCCATATGCATCCGAGAAATTTGCCGACCCAACTATTATCGTGGCTTTCCTTTATAAGTATACTTTTCCGGAAAAAACAGAACATACTCAAGGAACAGCGTCTACAAACTTGACGCAAAAACACTTGTTTCGAAGTGCGTCAAACGCAATGAAGACGAAACTGTGAACGGAGTAAACCGTAAATGAAAACTACTCCCGCTCGCGTCGCATCAAATAATGATTCAAACGCTATGTGAGAAACGCAATTTAGATACAGAACACTAAATTTAGGCAAGCACCGTGGCATATGACTGCTACTAAAAACATACCAACGTTAGGAAAATTTGACTTTATTTCTATGTGAAATAGTAAACAAACAAAAAATCAACAATAAAAGTAGACAATTAGTTTTTACATCAAGGCCATCATATTTAGATTTTACGTTAATCTGAACTCACGTAATATCCTGCTCAACTCTAGGATATTTTTGAAGCGCATAAGGTCTAATACAGGTTACAAACCCATTAGAACAGCATACGTATATTGACGACGTATATATGGGACGCGATCAGGAATGTGAACATCTGTTCTATGACGGCATAGTATATTATATATTAAAATCAACAATATAAATATAGCAGTCTGTGGCATAAAATAGGTAGAGCCAGTTTCTCTATATATCATAAAACCCAAATATATCTAATACAAAGCATGTATACTTGTTAATGATATACGTCTGCCTTTTGATGTAACTTCATTTAGCAAGTTCGTTAACAATACTCTCGCATAAAGGACTTCAGTCCATTAGACTGTTTCTGCCGTTCAGGCCATCGTGAAACTTGCATTCAGTGTCCTAAAATTATGCTCCCGCAGTAGCCTATTAATAATAGTCATTCGTAGAAGGCTTTCTAGTGATCTTATTCTAGGTACTTCTACCCGGAAAATACGACCCAATCATTAGGGCTCCAGCTATTTGACAAGCTATTTAGCTTGTCAAATAGCTGGAAATAGCTAAGTACATAGAGATACGGAAAATAGCAATGACAAGCTTCGGATGATCAGACATTACGCTGTAGCATCATTTATACAGTAATTTATAGGCGTGATCGAATGGGAAATCCAGCCCACGACGAAGGGACTACCATATGTGTGTGAGACGGTGGGTGGCCTTCGGATGCCGTCGATAAAAAACAATTAGCCTGTTTAACTAAGGAACTTGGTAAACGTCATTATGAAGATTGCAATGATTTATTGGGTTATCTCGTTGGCAAACGAGTGAGGATTTCAACTTAGGCAATGTTATTTGTTGTTACTGAGCAGGGCCAAGAATAAAAAAAGAAATATATGCTTTATTTTGTTAGGGAACTATTTTACAACCTTCCGGAATCAGGATGATCCCATTAGTGTTTTTTTAACAACTCTAAAAACACCTTGCGGTCACATCACACCTGAGTATGCGCGTACGCAGAGATCTGGGTCACTTGGGAAATTTCTACCGACTGGACCGAGTTGGGGCAAGTTCAACAATAGCGAAGCCAATGTTATTTGACAAGTTTCATACGAACTACGAGTGACGAATCTCAAAGTTACAATTGTATGAGCTGCGGATCAGGCGATTTTGTCTTGCCTTTTTTCAACTAATTTTATAGAGGAACCCCTCAGTGGGAAGGTAGAGGAACAAGCGATAGCACAGCATAACGCGAAGTAAATGCCACTCAGTAATTAATTTGGTTATCGATTACGTTTTACGTTGGATGTAGGGCATTAGTACTAAAAAATTCAACGACAGCGAACCGAGTTAAGTAAATGCTAGGTAACCATTGGGCCTCGGAAGGCAGGGCTTCAGACAACACCCAAACGACACGCTGAGGCTTAAAAGGGGCCTGTTTTAAGTCATGATTTGCACCTTATCTGTGCACACTCAGTTTAAGGTTCGTATGGCCTTGTGCTCGAGTATAGGCCTAACGCTCTTCCGCGCGTCAAGCGGTACCCTTCTAAGCTAAACATAGGCGATTAGCGACGGCTACAGAGGGCTGAAAATACTCTGGTGACAAGCTGGACTCTGAAGAGAGACCTCAAGGCCTTTACGGTACGTTGCGCGCTATGCAAATAAAATCGTGTTTCTTGCTTTAATATATTGGGTTCATAGACAGCTGCAAAAAGACACCGCAGCGAAATAGCTGAGCGCCCTGTGCTAACTATGGGCTAACCGTGGCTCCGAAGATTTACGGGAAATAAGCGTGTGCTCTTTCAACACTGAACGAACGAGATGATGGCTCTCATTTGAAACACTAGCTTCTAACACCATGGACGAAAGAAATCCACAGGACAAATGCTTACATATGAAACTAACAGCATCATAAGACTATATTATGATGATATTGCCATAAGATAAACATAACATAGGGAGTATTCTTCGCGCAAAGAATGCTCTTTACTCTTTTGAGTATCAATAATTATTTATAACTATTTTGGTAAGATAAAATGTAAATATCTTTAAAAAAAAAACAAATATTATACTCCATACGCAAGTTCATAGACATGCCTTCAAACAACGATAGATAAAATAGTATAGACGTGCATATGTGCGCCATATAATAAACAAATACTGAACGTTGCAATAAATTAGGTCGAACTTACTGACAGTGTCATGATCCCTAGAGATGATTGCGCTAGAGTGATATCTTTTATTTGATATATTCTAACGATCCGTCCATTCCTGTCCTAGTCGGAACACTGGGTGGCCTATGAGAGCCAGCATCATCTATTTCCGACAAAAAACAATTCCGCCATATCTATATGAATAGAATAAATCTAAGAGGGTTATTCTATTTATGAATTGAGGAAATGTTCCGTAAAAGCAGGAATCTAGATGAATATGGTGTTTCTTTTGCGACTCGGCCTCGACTATTTCCTCTATTTGGACTTAACTCGCTTAACTCATAGAAATGGAAAGTAGACCGCATCATGAATGAATCAGACATTTTGATAGGACTTTCACCTTTGTTAGAACGCCGCTTCATGGACCCTCGTACTAGTCCGGTCCGAACATTGAGGAGCGTTCCCGAGCTGGAACCGTGTTATAAGCTACGGTACACATAAACTATGGGATAAGTGATCTAATTCGTATCGAATTCAGAAACACTGCAATTCGAAAGTAATTTTCATATAGGAAAAGCGAAATACAGAGACTCCAACAGTTGTTTAACGTGACTGAATTGGGCCCGGTCAACCAGACACAGATACAGATCCATCCGTACTTGCATTCGTGTCATACAATGAAGAATAGAAGATTGGGCGTTGACTGTAGCAGTTGACTCTTTCAGTCTTCAAATTAAAAGACAACGCGTTTAAGCAAACCTGTATCGTAAATAAGCAACTATTGTACAAATAGTGATGCATTTTTATTTGAGATCTAGTGTGGCTATCGATATAGCTGAGTAAAAAATTGTGCATAGGTTAGGCAAGTTGCCAAATCTAGCAGTTATTCTAGTCTATCTAGTTCCATGTATGCACTTACGATTCGTCTGCCATTCTGCTACTATCCTACCTGAGTGCATTTTTCGCCTTCGATTGCGGATACATACAGAACGAAATCCGCATCTGGTACACCCTTTTGTACGGTTACATTCCGCGCGGCCTCGTTCGTCGCTTCGTCGGGAAGAACTTGACAGTTCAAACCCGAGAAGTTACATACGCGGCAAGGCTGTAACACAAACACATCTTTCCGTTATGATCATGATTTGCCAGTGACTGGTTTAACATACGTTGCACAACCCACTTTTAAGAATTCCCATATTTAGTTCCCATATATAGATCCCCTAGTAGTATTAGTCTTTTCGACACTATTTTAACTCTGTACTATTTGCGTGCTTCTCGTTGTCCTGTTTATCCTTTACTACGGCACAAAACTTGCACTCCTAGTTAATTTCGAATCTTCCTCTCTTATGCGCGCTTGCCGTTTATACATAATCATAGGCTGAGAAATATACTTGCGTTCCTACTAGGTACTACATATTGTGCCCACTGCCGCATATTGACGAAGACTTTATTAAAGTTGCTTGGACGTTTCGTATGTCAGAAATTGAAACTTAGGCCCTTCTTCTAGTGCCGTAAACTTTGGCCTATGAAGTTTAAACTACTGGGGGCATGATTTGTTAAAGATGCCACGCACTAACTTGAAGAATATAGCCCTATGAAATACGGAACGGGACAAGGCTCTCTTGATAATTAGAAAGTCCTTATTTTATATTTTTACTATGAATGCACACTAAATATATGTGCATGCTGCATTTCTACACAATTAATCTCTCCGAAGAGATTTATCCCACTATGCATACTAGTAACTTTATCAACCCTAACAAAAGCTTAGCGTACTTATGTTCACAATCGAGCGATCTGATTTATAAATTCAGTAAATCTCTACATTGTAGAGCCTTCTAGCACTTTAGTCGTCGACCTGTAGAAAACTATAGCCATGAGATAACTAAACATCCTTTCCTTATCTCATTGCCGATATTCACTAGATTCGTATAATAAAGTGCTATCAAACACGACGCCTTACGAAGACAATGGCCACATTAAGCATTTTAAGCGAGTGTTCCCTATTGGTTTTCAGCGCTATTCAACGCCTGCCTTCAGCAAGGTATAAGAGGATTCCCGAAACTTCAAACGAACACATCAGTTTTTATATTAAAAGGCAAACGATACCCCGTAAAACCATGGCCAAGGAAAATAATTAATAAAACAGGGTGCATTCGCCAGTTGCTTCCTAGTTCGCTGAAGCGATAGTTTGTTTCCCTTCTAGAGAGGCTTGAAGTCCTGGGTGAGCAGTACGAATTCAAAATAAAAATGGACGACGATTGCGCCACTGAGCTGCTATTGGAGGAAAGGACAATAACATAGATTAACTTTGCGCTAACCTTTAAAACATTACTTCTTAGCTTTAAAACAGCGTTCAAGTCGCGAGCATCGGTTCTAGATAGGGTACTCAGAGAAGCCATCCCCACGGAGATTCTAAGCTCACTTAATGCCGTACTGCAAAAAAAACCTTGTCGTATCGATAATACCGAGATGTAAGCAAATCTTGATTTTTGACTGTGGAATTACTTAGAAATAGATTATCATACTGAAGAAATTTCATCTGATTTTCGCCGTTAAATGAATTTCTGACCAGAATAAAAGGGCGGCATTTGTTCATGAAGTCGATTCTTCATGCACAGCACATCGCACTTTTTAGGCAAAGCAGGCTTCATCCCCGGTAGGTTACAACGACGCGGACCTGATATGTGATATGCATTAGCCTGAAGATAACTACAAAGAAGACGGCAGTATTGAAATGCAGACGAGCATGACGCTCAGCGACCAACCCTTAGCTAAGGCGAAAGCATGAAACAGGCTTGCGCACCCTTTTTACTCATCTCGGAGGCCTTCGATCAGTTACAGCTTCCTTTACCAAACCCGAAGCGGAATGGATGTAAGATGCTTTAGAGGCATGAACTGCGATATTATTTCTAAATACGTTGGACCTCTACACATTTATCTGCCATCTGGAGATCTGGAGACACACTTCCGTAAAAGACCTATCAACGCCACTAAAGCGAAACGCCCTTCGGAACTTTATGCAGTAGTGTGTAATAGATATGTTTTTTGGTAGGATCGCTCTTTTTTATGAATGATTTCCAAAAGCTGCTTGGCTTTGAGGAGTTGCAGCGGTGTGAAGGAGTGATTGGCGAGCAGGAGGACAAAATAGTGTAAGCAACGGTCAACAACAGCTGGAAGGATTTTTGCTAAGAAAAGAATCTCTATGTAGTTTCCAACGCCTGGTTTTTCGTGTCTAGCGATACGCTCAAACAACAATGCTCGACTCTTTACGGTCGCCACATCGGCACGTTACCTAATCTATTGAACATATCCAGATCTATAGTAGTTTTGTGTCCGGCAGAGCTCATACTTTGAACTGTTGTACAGAAGTACAGGCCTAAAGGCTCACTCATTATAAGTGCATAAAGAAACAGGCTTGGCCGTCGGGTGCCAAAAATGGCGAGAGAACATGCAATTAAATTCCTCTACCCCATAATGTCGTCACTATCATGATTCCCTTCAAATTTAGTGACAATAAAAAATAATATTACGTAGATAATTAGTGAAGTAATAACGCTCAATTATTAGCAAGTGAGACTGAGGGAGATTTTCTATCTTAGAAACTCAATAAATAGTATCAATTAATAGAGAAGTTAAACTTGTAATGTTGATGAGCAAAGCGTGGTAGGATTGTTTTTTTCTTAAACTTAATAACAAACAGACTATATAGATTTTTCTTTTGAAGATAATTTGATCAACGGCTGTGTTACAATTGTGCTATCAAGCAACGAAAAAACTTCTGTTGTCTGATTGGTTTTCCTACCTATGAAAAACCGTTCTTCCAGAACACAGTTAGCACACAGTCGGCCATATAACTTCCGGTAATATCTCTGTCACACTTATTAATGATCAATATGCAGGTAAGTTAATCTGTGATTTTATAAGAAGTTGCTCTGGATTCAACTTCGCCGATATTCATCTGAGAAGGGAACGGTATATCAGATCATTGGGGTGACCGAAACAGAATCCGTTATTTTTTCTCACTACCCAGAAACTTTGAATAATCAAATTTATAAAATATCCTTCTTTAATAGTGCATTCTAAATTTCACTGTCTTTTCAAAGCCATGGATGTGTCAGCGAGTATAAGTTAAAAGGCTTCTTACTGATGAGTATATTCAACGGTATAAGGAATGAGATTCCTGATCGAGTCGTTGACAATGAGCGACCGGCTTGTAAATCGGATGAGTAATGTGGCTTTTATTTACGGGATACTGCCTTTTCTATTGTAGTCGTTGTTTTTTCGATACCTGTCAACAAATATAGCTTGCATCAGCAAAGCCGGTGCTACAAGTGGAATTTAATACGGTAACATTCCTGCGTATATGCGAGCCGTATACGAATTCGCTCACCCCCAAATGTTCGGCGGGTACCGGAACTTCCCCACACAGGCTGACGGCTTCACAGCGCTCCCGGCAGAACGGTGTTGGATCCCCTTGTACGAAGAACACTTTATCTTCTGGACAGCGTCTGAAACGAATTAGGATTGAAATTGCATATATTTTTATTTATCAGCATTTGATCGTAACCATAATACTACTAATACCAATAATGAAATAAAATTACCGTCAGTATCGAAACATTATTTATCGAACGCAAACAGATGTCGGTATAAGTGATTGTATATTAAATACTGAGTAATTGCGAATACAGGGTTATTACGATTGGATTGAATCAGCCCACCTAGTTCTCGTCGCCTCGCGCTTTTCCAATGAGCCGCAGCAAAATCAATGCAGCTTAACTTAATTAGATGTAAAAGGAAACAAGCGTACAAACTCCCATACAGGATTCACTCCTGTTGAGGCGGTGCGCGCGTACGAAGCATACTTCCGAATATCAACATGCTACTCAGACGAATCTTTACATACATACAGGCTATATTTGGTTGTTTATAGAACTCTAGGCAATATTTGAGTCGCTGCTGATTTATCCAATCCAACAAAGGCGGGTAAGACAAACTTCATTAGCATGACGGATCTAGTTTGCTGCGATAAGCTTCAAAACGTATTTTAATGATCCAGTTACTAAGGGCGTGTATTCAAAATCGGACGTCTTTAGGTATTTTGAGTACCTATAAAAACCGATAGCTGGAAATTTGCGATGATTCTATTTTTCCTAGGATTGAGTCTCGAAGACTCGGATATGTCAAGTTTGATATCTATCTCCCTGCTTATTAGATCATGGAGTGGATTCAGATCTTAGAGAGACCGCGCATCCGGTGGATCAGCTCTCATAAACTCTTAAAACGAGCACAGTTTTGACCCTACAATTGACTACAATATAAATATCGTAGATGCTGGAGCACCATAGAGGAATACGCTTTTCGTCACCAAAAAGTCAGTCGCTTCGGCACGACTCAAACAAAAACCAGTTCCATGATTTTACATCTGAGGACCTTCTCGAATTGTAAAGATGGCGACTTTGCATCTTATACATGATGGACAAGCGACCCATTTTGTTGAGAACGTTGATAAACGAACCATCGAGTTGTCATCTGGGAGAGATCAAGTGCGGACATCGAATGGCACCAAAGTGTTTCAAAGGGTAATTTCTTAGCGGACTAGTAGACACGAGAAAACGAGACGGTAACGCAAACCAAGGAAGTGACAGGAAAGATGACATGCTCTCAAGAGTCGTAACTTCCCCCTCGAGCGTCGATTCTAACTGGCTAATGGTTACCTCGTCTAATGGAACTGCATGTCGCCTATTCAAAGGGGTTAAGTTTCAGCGCAAGTGCGCTTGGCCTTCCGGAATAAGTATTGAAGCTTTCCGAGTTCTTTATCTGACGCAGAGCTAGTTAAACATTGCTTCAGACGGTTGGCCATTTCCAGTACGAAACAGACCGTGGATCTCAACCCACCCTCGAGGGCAAACATGTTACCACTGCAGCACGGTGAGACCAGGACACGTATTATAACATTGTCAACGTTACCAAACATGCATAGAACTGGCTGCCGCGTAGAGACGTCACTACGAAACCCTATACGCACTAAATGAATAGCCGGTTGATGATACTCTTGTAGGTACAGTTTGGTTATTTCGAAAACGTATCCATTTGACCAATTATTTGCGTTTGTATTAGGAATTTAACCACTGAATTACACGGCGCCTATCTTAAGAGCGCCTATCAGTGATTTATGATCCATATATGGAGGCGGTGCATAAACTACATATTTTAGGAGAAATAATTCGACTACCCTAATTTTTATCGGTATTTGAACTTTGAAATTCTTGGAGTTAGCGTTGTGGCACAGACATTCAGTTTCGAATTTTTCGCACAACTGCTGACGTCGGAGTCTTTTATGCTAGATAAATTTTCTGAAAATTAGGTTCGTTCAATAGCAAGCAAATACAGCTATCTTGGCGAATTTGAGAAGAACTAGCCGATATTGAGGAATGTTCGATAATAGTCCTTTTATTGAAAAATCTGCGTATCTAAAATAGCATGAGATCCTATTTGCTTCGTGTGATTGAAACCAGGAATCCTATGGTTCGGATTCTCTGAAGTTACCCCTAGGCCATCTCGTTACAACATTGTATTTAACCTATGATCCCGCGTGTACTTCGATTTTGGCCAGTGTGGAAGATCATTTCTTATATGTTTTTTATCTTGCTTAAAGCTCCTTCCACGTGCTCGACAAAGAGACACTTTGTTCTTCCAACGACACATTGCTTATCTACACCATATGGCTAAGCATAAATGTGAACCCAAGGGAAAAATTTAATTGAGAGTGATAGAGGCTGCAACATTTTCCCATATGCGATCGTCACACTGAGAGACAAAGCGGCAGACTCAAGTGGTAGAAGTAGACTTCAAATGGGTGGCGTATAGGTTTATTATTAAAAAACTGTAGGCTCTTACTTCGGTAATAAACTGGGCCGAAAAGTGAAACAACATCTAATCCAGTTATAAAGTTTTATCTCCTAGATTTCATTCGTCGTAATTGTAGACCTAATTTTGCTTACCTCGCCATTTCTTTTCAATTGTATCTATTGTATTACTAATTATACAGCATGTCATGCCCATAGCTATCACTTTTTACCGGTTCGCTCTCAAGAACAAAACCACTTTTCGAAAACTGCCGGCTTGTGTTACGTACTACCTGTCAGGTGATGGATGCCGTGTTAGCAATGCTCAGTGATGAATGGGTAAAAAGTAAGTCGTCAGACGCACCGTGTGGCATATCGAGTCTTTGACCTGACTCCTTTGTTGTATCGGTACGCTAGTTTGTACTCCTGGCTCCGATACGTGAAATTAAGTATTCCATTCGATTTTCAGCACTAATGGTTGCGTATTGGTACTTCAAATTTCTACTTAACGTCAGGCTAAAGGAATCTTATCTGACTGGTTACGGTATTCGCAGCTTCACTAGGAAAGGCAAGGTAGTTTTCAGCAGCATCGCTCTGATAGTTATTTCCTAGCTTAGAGTGAACAGATTTCTGACACTCGCCACCGTCTCGAGCAATCCTTCGTAGGGACTGGCAGAACCGAAGAGAAAGATGACTGAGCAATATTCTAGCCTTCAGTCGAAGCAAGAACTACTTCGTTTTCTTATGAAGCTGATATTAATTTTGAAAAAACAATAAGTTGCGGTCAAAGTTTGTCGGCAGGCTCCATATCAGGCGAACGATGTTTAAATTACGAGAATCTCTGGTTGAAATCTGGTCGGCAAATATTGTACGAGACCACTTTAGAGCAAAAGGTTGATCCGTGCAATAATTTTACCAAACAAGTAAGGGCAGCGTGGTTTCCAGGACGGATATGCCGGAACGCGTGAGCGTTCCTCGCTTTCGTTTATTTGCTTAGTTGTTGAAATCACTATAAGATGATGACTAACAGAACTTTTCGACCAGTGCAACATGACCCTTTACCTTGTAATACTCTAGGCAGTGTCAAAATTAAACTTTGGGGGCTTTTTAGTTTTCTTTTTGCAGAAATTTTACCTAAATATGATGACGGAATTAGATTACATAATGGCGTAATGCACTATACCTGGTAGAAGTGTTGCCCTTCATACACTATCAACAATAATTTCACCCGCAAAGAAATAGAACAGCTCAATATCTATATATTGAATTTTGTTATTATATTTCCACCCTCGTTCCAACAACGCCTGCCTGAAGACCAGCGTCTTCTTTGGATTGGATCTTCGTAAAGCTCTGTAACAATTTCAGCTGAAGCCAGCTCGGCCAAGAAACCAAGACGGCCTTACTTTAGAAATGGCAAGTATCTTTGAATATGCCGGTATCCACGTTTGTGCTCGTCCTTTTAGTCGTCGTATACTATTAGAAATCTTTGCTGTACGCTACCTGAGCTAGTTTCGAACTGCGACCAAATATAATGCCGTTATTATTACTATTATTATTATAAAAGAGGTTACACAAATTTCCTAAAATATCACACAAGTCGCCGTCCACGCTCCGCCGTCCGGCGATAAAAAGGTATTTTTAAATAATAACATCGATGACAGTGACATGCTCATGTGGTTGATTGGTCGAATCACAGGTTCCTTCATAGGGTTTTTTTTTAATTACACAACACTAGTGTATTGAAATCTGACATCTGAGTCGATGTAATGCTCTTTTTCAACATTACGTTTCTAAGTATGATCTATTCATTAAGGTTAAAACATTGCCAAATGCGGAAAAAGAGTTTTTTAAGGTATTACAAAGGCGCAGTATGCTTCGTGACGTAGTTGTCTTTGAGACCATATACCAACTATGGGATATTAAATCATGTGGAAACTATGTCCACAAAGAACCTCAAGATCATGTAGGATCTCCGTAAAAAGCGGGCGGATAAAGTGTATTAGAGCACGTGTAAACGAGCGCTCGAATCCCACTTCGAAGGAGCATCATGAGTAATGTACTATATACCCGTGGCCTTTGTCGCTCCTAGAGAGATAATCGTCCTAAAGAGATAATAACTATGCCCACGAATGAAGTTCATTTTAAATAAATCGAATATGTTAAGGTCATTGAGACAGTCAATTTGCTATCCTATTGATATTTCTTGTACACATTTCGAATTTTATACTTTTCACAGAACTGTGACCACCTAAACGGAATTAAAGATCTTCTTCAAATAAAGAATGCGTTAACGTACCCATGCATGGCTATTAGATATCCCCTTGAAGAACAAGACATGAATACGTTCAAATAGGCCTCGGCTATACGGAGCGACGGACGCGCTGTCGCTGTTGTCATCAGCGTACTAACCCTACCGACTCGATAACCAAAATAATTGTCTTCAAACCCGCGGCAATCGTTTGCTTCATTCCCAATTCCACTCCAACTTCCATTCTATTGGAAATGCAGCTTAGCTCGGAATACTCAAGCGACCGGTCAGCAAGACATGCAAACATATTCTTCGAGGGCTTCATTTGCGTAAACGAAGCATCACTTTTGTAACCAAATATATTCTCTGCCCATCTGGACAATCTACTATTATGTCAGTTTTATGTAAATATAACTTAATAGGTCAAACACATGTGAATCAAATTAGCTATATTAGTTATTTACAGTTAGTTCCTCAAAACATAGTCCTAACGAAGATTAGACAAGTAATAACACTGTAGTACAAATTCGAAGAAAGGCACTAATAGTTAACTTACTTCTCCGATATTCTGTCTATTGAATATGAAATCCCTCCAGCTAACTTATCTCAGACAAGTTAGCAATCGACTATGTTTTGTTTCTGTTCTCGTGATTTAATCTACAAACCGCTCAATACGATGCTCGGCAGCAAACATGCACTTGTACCAGCGTCCTCGCTGTCACACTGTTAATCCAGTTTCAGCATTTTTTCACAGTATGAGCTATACTGAAGTATACTGCTTATAATTCAGTATAGCTCATACCGAAGATGTTAGGTTCGAAGTTCCGTGGCTCCTTTCATGCTCGTTCAGCCCTTCGCGGCATAACGACCTTAAACGTCACCGAGCAGAAATCATATTTTTAATCCGCGGCACCATTTAATGTTCGAACCTCATGTGATATCGCGTCGATGCCGGGTGCTGAAATTAAGGCTCCTTTACGGCTGGCTAACAGGCAGGCATAAACATCTAGCGGGGAGGAGGCACGCCGCCGAGAAAAGCCTAAGGCCCCTCCGTCAATAGTACAAACTCACTGTTGTATCCGTTAAGAATCATAAGTAGAAATAGCAAGCGCAGAAATCGGATGTAGTAACAATGGCGTTTAGCTGTTATAACATTCGTTGAAAGAGGCCCATCGTGAAGTGGCTTACTGATCTAGCAGTCGGTGAATCCAGCGGATTTTACCGAACATGCTTTCTTAATCGCTTACCAACCTGTTTAACCTTGCCGGAACTGTGAGTGGATAGCGCGGCCGAAGATGCGTACTCCAGTATTCAACAGCTTGCGGTAGGATACGCTCGTTTATCAGGCGGAACTTTTCCGGGTCTAATCTGAAATAGCAAGAATAAGAATTATAATAGAAATCTCCATTACGATAAAATAATTAGGGTGGTACAAATAGACAAAGGCAATAATATCATCATGATTCCTATCACGCTATTTTCCGAAGGCGAAATAATGGAGGCCTTTAATAAATCATTTCCATAAATTGAGTGTTTCTATTATGTTTTTCTCTGTTTTATTGTGTTTGTATTGGTCGATGTATATGATCGATTGTTATCGAACAACTAAAGCCTGCCATATCTGAGTGTGTTACATGTTCAGTACAAATGAACTCCCTAGGGTTAACTAGGGGTTCAGAGATCTAACTGGTTTATGGCGCCAACAAGCATGGAAAAAATGAACGAAAATGCCCTTCAATGTCTAACAGATATGCGAGATCATTTGCCGTACTCAATAGCCTCGTATATATGTCTCGTATATACAGGCAACACGCTATGCAAATATACGAGCACGAATAGATAGAAATGGACGGAATGTGTAGGCGTCAACAGATGGCTCTATTCAACACACAAGTTGTTGATGTAGAACTCGTAAGGCACCCTTCAAAACAAATTAAAAAAACCGCTAAGAAAAACTTGTCTTCCCCAGAAACAGCGGATACATTTGACTTCGTTGTGTTCTAAACCGTTCTTCGTTGCCCTCTAATTATAATCAGTTTGGTAGATCTCGTTATTGTTAGTATTAATACATCTATACGGCTATCGCAGCAAGCAAAATTCAGCTTCTGCTTTGGTTAATTTCAATAGCGGCTGTGGTTCTTGTGATAATAATGGCTCAGCGAGATTTCATGCTCAGCTTGAATTTCTGCTAATTGCCTACGGAGAAACCTTCTGGGGACCAGACGATACGAACGTGGGTACGTTATTTTGATAATCGTTGGAAACTTGGATGGGAGTTGTCTAAAACTGTTGTTGAACACTGCACTCGAAGTTATATTTTGAATAACATGTTCTTAGCGGTTGAGGAAAGGAACAGAGTGAAAGGAAAAAAATAAAAAGATAAAACCGAAATGTTGGATTCGATTGCCAGCGATATTGAGGCGCTATATTCAAACGACTAGAATAGAAACGACGCTGTTTTGTTGATCCTTAACCAATAAAATCTAATTGTTCACAATTTTGTGCAATGAAAGAATAATATAAAAAAGAAAAAAAAAACTATATGATCCCAATAATGCATTTATATGGTCACTCAAATACGTACAAATTGGAGTGGAATGAAGACATCAGTTTAATATTCATTATCGCTGGAGGTGGCAGTTAACGGATTTGTGTCGTATCTGAAGAAACTGTTTTCAAGTACGTTCGGACATATTTTAGCTATTCAGACACTTGCGGACGTTTGCTTAATCTAATTTTGCCCTTCCTGCAAAGGAAAGCCTCTTAGTTAATTTGATTTTAATAATGCGATATTTTCGTCACTCTGACATTTTTAAGTTAATTCAGTCATACATATCGTAGTTACCCAGTGGACTAGCTTGGTTTATGGCACTATTTTCGTCGTTGCCCGGTCTGATCGGCTGGCAGAATTTTACATCAAAATACTCTATAACGGCTTGATTATTACTAAATTTGTTATCGTTGTCCGGTCTCGTCGCCAAGCAAGACCGCCCCGAAAAGCACTAATAATATATAATAATATGAACCTGTCAAAGTCGTATCCATCGGATGCGGGGTCGTATGCGAAACGACCCCCATTGTTAGCCCTCACAATGATACAGGACAATATCTCTGAATCGATTGCATGCTAACATATTACTTTGCAATTAATCTTCTTGCTATTACTATGATTAGAAACGAGACAAAAAACAGATAAAACAAAAGTTCTTTTTTTTTCGCATGATGAATGAATAGTTACGCGGTGGTAAGTACACTTACCGTCTTATGTCTTGGTAGTTCGATGCTAATAGTAGGTAAAAGTGTTATAAATACTATATACATACTATTTAATAAACCTATATTTTGCAAAGGTAAGCACCAAATCGTAGCAACATTAGCTGTACGTCGTCACCGAATATCATTATTATTGTGCCAAACTGTGATTGTGACGATACCGCGTATGTGGATGAATGCGTGTCTAGCTACCTGTAATGCATTCAAGGACATCGTTCTTAGCTACAAGCCGCCGAGGCATAACAAGTCATCATCGTATATATATATATATATACACAGAAATAGACAGGTACATCTTAGCCATCCAAAATACAGCGGCCATGTAGCATATGTTTGTGGTTTCCATAAGCCGGATGAAGGTACCTGCGCAAACTTCATTGTTTTTTCGGAACCTTTATCTAAAAACATGAACAACACCTGTTATGGCGGTATCTGATACAACTACTATCAGTAACGCCAATAGGTATTCGTGACCCCAGAAACTAGTTCTGTTTCAGAAAATGTTTCTCCTTGACTACCCCCGGCCCTGATTTTCCTCCGCTCTGACTGTGACTTGCCTTGTGCATTTGTGCTTCTTTCTCAATAACGAATCCAACTCAATTTCCTATCGTTTTCAATTTCCCTATCATTGATCTGGCTTGATACCAAAATTCGAGCAACAAATCGTAAGTGCTTTACAATACTATCATTACCAACCATGAATCGATAAGATCCCGTATCACAAAAACTAAATGGTCAGCCGACAGAGATGTATTCTGCGACCCTTGCCGACGATACCGATGGATCGGTCCCACCATCATACGAATGCTATACCCGACTTGCTAGATGATCGAAACGGTGATTTTGACTTGTTTGGGCGGAAACGAGAAAAGAAATCATTCCGTCTTCATAGGTCGTTGTCGTCGGGTTTAGTAAAACGCTTCAAAAAACTGCCGAGCGAAAGCAGGGGAAACACAGGATATTCGATGATGGGAACTCTGCTCGATCACATTATTGAACGGAGGTCATGGCTTCATAAAATCACAGGATAAATGCCAATTACGTAGTTATTTTGCTGTATGGAGGCGGGCTAGGCCTCTTCTATAGGGCATTTGATAGCCTAGTTAAAAGTAGAAGCTTACCCTTGGCAGACTTCCCATTGGTAATTGTGAATCGGATTTTTTTTCTATGTGCCATATTGTATATATGTTCTAAGGTTGTTTTTTGGCGCTTTCGTTACTGGTTGGTAGAAAATTAATTAGTAATATAATTACTCTAATTTTTTTTAAAGGTTCTTAAAAGGTCTTCAAAAGTTACTATATAACTTTTTTCTACTGACATTAATTACGTAGGTTTATGCATTCCCTAAGAGACTTGAAGCAGTATCAACCTCCTGCCTGGCCTTTTTCACTCCGACGTGTTTGATCAATATAAAAAGGACTATGGTTAAATTATAAACGCTAATTATACATTGACGACTTTGTACAATATTCCTAATCAGGGTATATAAAATATTTATTCACCTAATTAGTTCCCATTTTGCGTTAAACATTATAAAACCAAACCAATGTATCTAGATATATATACATTACATAATCAGTTGTCCTGCCTCTAAACACAGCTGTGGAACATATCACACAATTAAATATAGCGGCGATCAGCAAATAGGGCTTGCTGGCAAAATGCGACCTAAACTTTCTTAAGCACTTAATTTGGTTCGCACTTAGCTAAAATGACGATAAGTTTTTCTCCTAAGCGTCTTCGAAGACGCTTATTCAAAAGCATGCACCGCTTTATCTTCAATGTCAAATAGGCTTAATGTCACCCAAGACAGGATTCGCTTCAGCTGCCAGTGCAAACAAACTTGCGGCGAATCTCTTATGTGTACGTCGATGGCTTTCTCTTCTAACACTTTTTTAAATACATTTGATGCCCCCGAATCGTAAGCCGTTTGGAATGCACGACGACAAATGAGCAGACATAATTTTAGGGGTGTTTCAATGACACATGCATGCCCTTCCAGAGCAATTGTAATTGCGGTACACGAAGCAGCAATTATACCAGGTGCAAATTTAGGACTCAGGCCAGCCTAGGAAATCAGCCTAATGCTTATCTATGTACGACAATAAATGCACCTCATCATTCACGTAAGTTATGTAGCATTGGCTCGTCCTTATCGTCACTTGCAACATACACAGGTCACTGGTAATTTTATTAGTAACACAGAACGTATACTTCCTAAAGCGTAGCGCGGCGCACTAATGGCGGTCACAAAGCAATGCTTTTTGCGGAAGTTACCCATTCACATTGAGATCGCAATTTTAGGATTAGTAGAGATATTGGATAAAGTTGGATGAGACAGAAGGAGACAATTAACAAAACATTATTTCAATCTATAGATTTCCGTATGGACTTTAGTAGCTGCGCCTGACAATAAAAGCGGTGTATGGGAAACGATCCGACGTACTGGTAGACGCCGACAATGACCTTCCTTTATTGTGTTACACCACGGTGCTTCCGACTGCTGCAAATGTCATCTATTCAACTTATTACCCTACGACAAAGGGCCCTGCATGGAATGATTGCATAAATGTTCATCTAACTCTGATCAATCGTGTGTTACGTCACCATCATTGTCAAATATTAAATATGTCGTCGTGATTGTCACCTCTTTATTTTTACGGATGAACAATTATTAGTTCTTCATAATAACTGCCATGGATATTTAGCTGCCCTTAACATCTACATCGGATGTTACGATTTGACGAGATGCAATGATGACTGTGCGAATGCGAAAAATAGAATTTTTCTACTGCATCCAAATTTTAACCAGACCAATAAACAGCTAAAAAACAGACTCTGAAGTACAGAATCTCTATTCTTTTTGTGATGGGATACGGATTTCAGTCCGTACAGGCTCAACCCTGAAAGGACGGCACGCCTTCGATCTGCGATAGAAAACTCTCTATCGAAGAACGACATCCAGATCAAAATAGATATCAGACACTGGCAGCCACCCTGTAGATAGAAAGACTAGATAAACGGTGAAACTTTATCCAAAAATTCTGAGGACGAGGGGGACTAGTAAAGGATTAGAACGTAAAATCTCAGAGCGA